CGCGACCGGGCGCGCGGCATACCAGGAGGGCTCGACCCGCCCGAAGAGGTGCAAGCGGGGCCGGGGGCGACCAGGGCCCAAGGGGGAGGTGCTCGGCGCCGCGCTGGGGCCCCCCTTCGACGCAGGGGCCGCGGCTGGCGTAATATCAAGGAGCCCGCGGGCCGATCCGCGCTGCGCGGAAGCCCTCGCGGCCGCCCCCCCCCCCATTTACCCAGCGACCTTCATATTTCAGGAGGGGAAAAAACACACAGACACAATTAATCGTCGATCCCCCAGAAAATATGAGAAAATATGGGAAGTGGTGGGGAAGACAAAAACCCAGAAAATATGGGAAAATATGGGGATAGTTTTATTTGTGTGTATTTGTTTGTGTGTCCTGGGGCCCCTTCAATATTGAGAGGCTGCAGAGGTGCAACGCAGTGTTCCGTTTAGTTTTGAACTTGCTGCGCTTCTTCTGTCGCTATAGACCCCAGCCATCTTGGAGCATCCCATGAGCCCGAGAAGTTGGCACCACTCTGAGCTACACCATAATATAGCGCGCCGCTGCGTGGCTACGGCGGCCACGAAAAGCTTGTCGACCAGTGTCAGTTCAAGAGATGTTGGAGCAACAAGAGACTTGCGTTTCATGTCCACTTTGTCTATCTAGACTCCGAAAACATGCAAAGGGCCCGACGGATTCTGAAGCAGGACGGGCCGCCCCAATTTTGCGTTGAAAGGGACTGCGCGCTCAGGCCGCAAATGGACCGCCATCGCAGCCTCTTACAGTCCGTCGTGAATTCAAACAGTGGTGAACACGTTGCTTGCCCATGCTAGTGCCACGACCGTCACTGTTACGCCCCGCCTGCAATTTTTCAGCGTTTCCTCACCCGCCCGGGAACCTTCGGCCCTGGGATGCCCCCCCTTTTTTGGGAAGTTTGCATTCGGAGCCCAATTGTATGCTCCAGCCAGTCTGTTGACAGATCGGTACTAAGCGCCACCTCGCGCTGACGCGTGGGACTTCTGTACCACAGAGCATCGACTTCCCCAACAGTCCAGATCGTCACGTGCGTGCGCTTGCCCAGGTAAGTTAAGGTGTCAACGTGTTTGTTCCATCACGTTGCTTAAATGTCAACTCAAGTTGTTTGTTTCTCGTTCCTTCCCTATGGATTTCTTTTCTTGCGAAGCCTGAGCCTGGGGTCCAATAATAGTTGTATGTTTTGTGTTCCCGCCAATGTGTGCCCGGATCCCCAGCGGGCGCCGCCCTCGCGTCGATCATGCCATTTTCGTTTTTTTGACCGCGTCTCCACAAGCAGTTTATTTCAGCGTTATTTAACAAGGGGGATTTGCTGCGGCACAGGACAGGTATCCATAGAGTTCTGCTACGTAAGAGCGCCGCCCTGCTCATCCTCTTCCTCCTCCCCCTCCTCCTCCTTTTCCTCCTCCTCCTCATCATCCGCCTCCTCCTCCTCTTCCTCCCCCTCCTCCTCCTCCTCCTCCTCCTCCTCCTCCTCCTCCCACTCGTTCCTCTGTGATCCCTTCTCTGTTTCCTTCCCCCCGTCGTGGTGGCCGTCGTCGTGTTCGTTTTCGTCCTCTGTTCGTCCTCGTTTTCATCCGTATACTGCGACGTACTCTCCGCCAGGACAGAAGAAAAAGGTAAGAGGGAGTTGGGAGGAGGGGGGGGGGGCGAGAGAGGCCGGGCCGAGCCGAAACGACCGTTTTGATTCCACCTCTGCCGCTTCGTGCTCTGCGAGGGGTCTGGGCGCTCCCGGCCCCGCGACTGGAGATTGCCCTGTCGTCGTCGCCCTCGAAGACGACCAAGCGGGGCGTCTGTCCTGTGCGCTTGTTGCCGTGAAGCTGTACACACATGGCGTGGCCACCCTGGGCGAGAGTTGGGTACACTTGTTTTGTTCGCGAGCGTCGCGGTCCAGCCGCGCGCCGTCCAGAAGCGAGGCAGCCGCGCCCAGATCTAGATTAGACACTCAGCGCGCAGGAGCGAACTGCGCTGCAGCTCCAGGGGGCGAAGGGGACGCTGCAAGACAGGCCGAGAGGAGTTGTGTGCACACGAGGCGTTCCAGAAAGGGCCCCGCCTTCGAGGATCGGAGGAGCTGATGTCTCTTCTTCGACGGGGTGCGGCGGCAATGCGGCAGAGAGCGGCGGGAATAGTTAAACAGGAGGCGGCTCCGCCGGCGGAGGCGGGCGGAAAGGCACCCTTGCAGGACCCTGCAGAGTCAGGATCCAGCAGGATCCTGCATCATCCTCAGGATCCAGCAGGATCCTGCATCATCTTGCAGGATTCTGCAAGGCCTGACTGGCCCTTGTTTTTGGGTTGACCCAGGGCAGTGGATCTCTGAAGGCGGCGGAGGCCGGCGGAAATAGCACATGCCTCCCAGAGAGACGGCAATTTTTCGGGGTTCAGGGTTTTTGGAACCCGCCACGTGTTGCCGCATGTATTTCCAAAGTTCGGCATCCTCACGTGTATAAAACAGCTGGCCTCCGCATGTTCCGCATGTGTTTCCAACCGCATGTGTTTCCAGTGTCCTGGATGGTTCAAGACACCCAAATTGAGATGCTCGATCGTGGCCCGATCATTCAGGAACAAGGATGCCGTGCGCTGTTGGTAAGGTTAAGTTGGACGTGGCCGACGTGTATCTTATGGGCCTGTGCCGTTCTGCGCGCCCACAGTGCGCCCCAGCGATGTGGTGCGCACCTTTGCTGTGCAGTGAGGCACTGTGCAACGCAATGAGGAAGAATATGCCGACAAGAGTTGGAGTATGAGAAAGAGGAAGGGGCGGAGGAGGAGGAGGAGGAGGACGACGACGACGACGACGAGGCCACATCACCTCTCGGGCCCAGGCGCGCCAAGGCCCCTCCCAGAGCACGAGTCCATAACCTAAGTGCCATCGGACAGGGTTTCTGTTCGGTCCGTCCCCGCCTCCCTCGCCCCTTTCCTCTTTTCGATTCCCTCCTTGATTCGTTTGTCCTTGTGTGATGAGCTTCTAGTGCATGGGGAAGACGAGGACGACCAGAGGAGGGAAGCGAAAAAATGGAGCAACGCCGTGATCTATTCCCAGCAATCTTTTCCGTTGCGTTTAGCTAGCCGTCGTTGTCCATCAATGGTCTTTGCATGTCCAAACCATGGTGCGCGTTCTGTCGCAAAAAAGCCCAATTTGCATGTGTTCTTATGTGTGAGTCGGTTGGGCTACTCTGACGCGTTCCCAGACGGCGCCGGCACGAACCGTGACTTTACGAGGGTGAGCGGGAGCGCTTGTGCCAGTACCGGCTCTTCTGTGATGCACAATCGATGTACATAAGCAAACATTATATATACACATATACATATGTGAAAAAATACGAGCAGCATTTGTATAATAACCCAACATTTAACGACACACAAATGAAGTATGTATACCAATGGCGACAATATTAGCAAGTTTAGCGACAAGTTTACGAATGACAGTGCCACTAGTCAGACACGCAATACGATGAGCATTTTGGAATGACAAAAGTCGTGTCATTCAGAAAGCTAACAATACAAAAAAAACGCGAACTAAGAGTGTAAGTAATCAGACCGATCTTGATACCAACACTACTCTCGGCGTCACCCCAACATACTCATACTATATGTGCGTCGCCCCCCAAGGGCGACGCGCGCACCGATAATGTTTATAGTATATGCGTCGTGGCGAGCGCTTTCTGGCCACACCGCTCGGGAAACGATATACGTACTACAAGATGGGTGTACTATATGTTATGGTCGGACGCACGCCTCCAAGGAGGACATATAGCATTAGTATGTCTCTGTGCGTCCCAAACTAGTACCATCATGGGGCTTTGCAGATAATAGTAACAATCATATTGACGAGCATTCGTAACGCTACAACGGACAGTCAGAATAACAAGTTTAAGAATGCGGAGACGGATGTTAGTACGAACAGTAATTAGGATATTATGAAGGCCACTTGCAATTGTTGCATCACTAATACGAACATTATATTACGAGTAAGATTGTGAATGCGAATCAGAGGGCTAGTCTTCATAGAATTTCCACGATTGCTAGCATCTCAAAAAGAGACGCCATGAGCGTAAACGCTCGGAGGGCCGCGCGGCGGATTTCTTGGATCGGCGGTACCCCCCCGCTCCCCTGGCGGCACCACTGGCGCCGCCCTCTGGCGCGCTCCTCGCAGCAGGGAGGGCGTGGGTCCAGCGCCGATCCAAGAAAGCCGCGCAGGCGTCCGAGAGCTTCTGCTCCAGGGCTGGACCTAAGCGCTGTGTTGCTGGACTTCGGCTGTGTGTTGTTTTTCTTTTTTGGGAGGGAGGTACAGGAAAACAGGTAGAGCAAAACGAAACACACATCGAAAACAAGACGAAAAACAACGTTTAGGTCCAGCCCTGTTCTGCTCGTGCCATGATTTGCTCCCCCAGGCGTGTCTGCTGCTCCCCAGGGCCGCGCTGGCCGGGCTCTTCGGGGCTGCGCCTGGCTCCTCTCTCGGCAGGGGCGCCGTCGGCGCCGTGCCGCTGAAGAGCAGCAGCGCACTCACCGGAGATACCATTGTCGCCGGGTACACGGAGCGCAGGGGCAACGATGGGGGGGGATGGGCATAGGGGGGTGGTCGGTCGGCGGTTCTCCATGGTTTGTCAGCGGTCCGTGCCCGGCGGTTTTCCTGCCGCGGCATGCCCTCCAGCAGCTGCGCCTCGCCGCGGGCGTTCCGGGGGTGCCTGGATCGTCCCGACTGGCCGCCAGAGAGCCGAGCTGTGGTCCGGAAACCACCAGGGGCAGCGGCCGGGGGGATGGGCATAGGGAGGGACGCATCGTCCCCCAACCGCCCGTGGATCGCCGAGAAGGGTCTGATAGCCCCACCCCGCCCAGGAGCGTTTGAATTTGCCATCGGGGGCCTATCGCCGATCCATCGGCGATGTATCGCCGACTCAGGGTCGATGATCCGTCCCCTCTGCCAATCCCCCTTCTCTTTGCACCTCAGGAACCCGCCGACACCAGCGGCTCAGATGTAGCGGGGTTGGGTATGGCCTCGGGGTGCGAACCTGGCGCCTGCTCGTCGCAGAGGCGACTGATAGTGGACTACCCTTTCTTCGACGTCGCTCCGTACATCCTCGTCGGGGCAGTCGGCGGCGCGCAGTTCGTCGTAGACTCTTCCGGCGACTTCTGCAGGGTAGGCTACCAGACGCCCGCAATAACCACGCCGCAAGGCGTCGCAGGCTTCCCGCAGGATGGCACGAATACGCTAGTGCAGGCAAACATGGCCTGCGGCATCACGCCCATAAGGTTCGTGTTTACCACTTCGGCGCTGTCGGCATACAACGACACAGCCGAGACTGCGAGCATGCAGATCGTGATCTCCTTAGCGGCGGCCTCCTTCATCGATTCGGACTCTTGCGAGTCCGTGCTGTTCGCCACTGGCGGTTTCCCGCGACTCAGCAGCTGTCTGTTTGCCGGCCAAGAGGCGATCCTTACCCTGCAGACTCCGTTCACGCAGCAGCAGAAATACTCGATCACCATAAAGGTGGTGTCGCCGTCAGAGAGGAAGATGGCCTCGGAGAACAGTTTCGAGATGGTCATCAGATTGGAGGGCAAAGACACGATCGAGGGCACGATCGCGCCAGTGGACATGGTGGATGTGGTAGAGAGCGCGAAGGACACTTCGTACCACGGTGGCGTATACGACTACGACGAGGGGGCCTGGAACCGAGGCTACATCACCGCTCTCCTGTGGCAGCCCGACTCCGAGTACTCGCCGTACATGGGCAGGTACACGAAGTTCTCGTTCGGGCTGAGGTCCTTCGGCAGGATGATCATCAACCACCTAATACAGGTCGTTGCGTACCCGTCCGACGTCTGGAGGTTCGGGGCGCCAGACACGGATTGCGACAATTACCAGCAGTCGGGGCTGGTAGGATCCTCCTGCCAGTATTGGTCGTTCCCTGGCGCCCTCGCCACGGAGTCGAACGGCTTCCAGATCAGGGTGGGAACCACGCCTTTCCTCAACCTCGGCACGGATTCTGCAAGGTCATTCAGCATGCTTCTCCAAAATCCGTCTGTGCCCGTGAACGCCTATTGGGTGGCCACGTCCTTCAGGTACGACAACTTCCAGCCGGTCCAGCCCTTCTCCGTATTCATGGACAAGCCCGTCGCCACCATCGGAGCACCGTCGGGCTACGTGGCCGGCTGGGAGCTCGCCGCTGTCAACCAGGTCCAGTGGATCACGATTGAGCTCTACCCGGGCAACATGGTGGTGCCTGTCGGGGTCCAGGACGAGGCATCGACGGGTGGTATGCTGGTCTTCGTGCCGCCGGCGTCCTACGTGGTGATAGTCAACGAGGAGCCCGCCGACGTCCCGGGGTACAACGCCTTGCCGTGCCGTAGCTGGCCGGAGGCGGACCGCGTGGCGGGCCGCTGGATCTGCAAGCTGGAGGACTCAAAGAAGAATTGCTAGACGCGTCGCGTAACCCCACCAAGCCATCCAGAAACTATGCACAGGTGAGTTGCCTTGACTAGGGATGTGGAGGAGCATGCAATAGAATAGCGTGCTGGGGGAGCCGTCATACCCCAAGAGGGGGAGGATGCAGGCAGAGGGAGGAGGAGGAGGAGGAAGAGGAGGAGGAGGAGGAGGAGGACTGGATTGGATTGGATTGGATTGGACCTATCGCGAAGCGAATGTACATGATCAACCGCCGCCCGAGAGGGATCGGGCTTAGATCGACTACTTGGGCATTAAAACATTGTGAATTCTGTCCAGGTAGTATTGCCTGGTCTTAGTGATCAGGTCAGGCACTTGCTTGGGCAAACGTAGGCCGAAGCTGCTGATTGACATAAAACCCGCACGAACCGCAAAACCAGATCCGAAGGCTCGTGTGGTACAACATTGACTGAGACACGTGTGTCCACACACTTCCTATATGGACAGAGCGACCCGTCGGCAGCCTCAAGAAACTCGAATTAGCCTGAGGCTCGAGCTGACTGCAATTGCTTTTCCTCCAGTCGGTCAGCGAGGTTATGGCAACACTGCCACGGCACACGAGACAGCTGCGGCCGTTTTCAGAATATACATGCTCGGACCCGAAGAAGGCAGCATAGGGCGGAGGAGGGCACGACTTTTTTGCATGAGGCGACCGCTTCTCCGACGCCACCGCATCCAGGGTGGCCCAGAGCAGCCTCCTCCTGACCACGCGTGCCTTGCGCTCCGCCTGCGCAACTCGACCCCGATCGGATTTACTGGCACGACATTCTCTAGCAGCAAGACTGGCCAGCTCATCAGCGGCCGTGCTTCCTTCGGCTATCCACATGGGCGTGATATTGCTGTCAAGCTCGGGCCCCGACAAGTGCGACAACCACAACCTGGGAGAAACCACGAGATTGCCTAAGATCACCCATCCCTTGCCGGAGGTAAGACCTCCCCCCCCGCTGGGGAGGCACGAAACTTGATGTGCCAGCCCTCCAAGACCCTTTTGGCTATCTGTGACATACACGAGAAAACACCTGAGCTGAATCCCAGGGCGGCCAAATGCGGCCAGCTCCCTTCGCTGGACAAACTGGTGTGGCCCAGGGAGGGGGGGGGATTGCGCATGGTCACAGCCAGCACGAACAGGTTGAGAGAGGTGAACGTAACAAGACCGATGCCGACACGGCGGACGCGCTCGTCCCTCTGACGGGCGGGCCCGCTGCCTTGCCACCTTATTCGCTCGCAGCACCTTCCTCCCTGGTCCAACTCGCAGGCAAAATGCCGCGCTACCAGAAACAGGCATCGGGCCCGTGCTGGCTCATCGCCTGAGGCATCGGCTCGTCGGAAGCGGCGTAAGCCGCGGAACCACTACTACACCTGCAAGACCAAGGCCGATGGAACGCAGTTGCGGGTTCGGCCTGGCACCTGGGGCAGAGATTGTCAGCATCCTGACTGACCTCATCGCGGGCCCGCTGCCTGGGTCAAGTGCTCTCGACAGCCACGCGCAACATCATCTCTGTTAGTTAGCGCCTATGCTCGGCCTGCTCAAGCGCGAGAAGGTAAGCACGACAATATCGATTGCTCATCAAAAGTGAAAGCCTCGCGGTCTCGATGGTCGCGCGCCATGGCGCTCCGCTCCGCAGGGTTGACTGGCCCCCGCCTTGCTGCAGCAAGCGCGCGATGACCGCGCCGAAGGGCCCGCGGGCGCATCGGCTCATCTGCCGCGCAGGCAGCGCCTGCAGCTTGAAGACCAACTTGGGTCATGCAGCTCGGACGCCGCCGAGAATATTCGGCGCGGTGGCCCGGGAACGCAGCCGCATCCGAAGGCATTCGACTGAGAGTCGCGCGCCTAGGTCTTGCCGCGGACACCGAAGGCCAAGCGCCGATGTCAGGCGCCGCCCTCTCCTCGCCGAGCTGGATGCCGGGTCAATTGCCTGCGCGTGGACAGCGCGGCAGCGCCGTGGACTCCGTGGGCGCGGCGCCCACAGTGGCCCGCCGGCCGGGCCCCTCTCGGGGCGCGCCGCGGGCTCGCGGCGACGGGCCGCCTCGGCGAGACGACGCGCCATCGCATTCGCGACAGCCGCCCTCGCTTCCCACTGCCCAGCCGCGCTCCTAGCGCGCCTGCCCGCGCCGCAGCCCACGCCGAGACATCCTGCTTGTAGAACAGGCTGGGTGGCGGCTCCACCGCGACGCAGCGCGGGGCGAGCATAGCAGCGCACCCTTGGAAGCCACCCGCGGGCGCCACCTCGACCGCTCGCAGCAATTTCTTCTCGACATGACTACGAGTATCAAACGCGGTTTCAGACGGATCGCCAATCCAACGTCTCGCGTCGAATGCGGGGCGTGATCTCGCGAAGTGAGCAATGGCGAAGTAGGTCACTCAGCGGGCGCATCTGGCCCCGCCGCGCGGCCCCCGCACGACACCGCGTGTCTTCTGGAGAGGTCGGTCGCGAGAAGCGCCCCAGCTGCGCGACCGCTATGGACCCCAATCGCAGCTGCGGCTCCAGGACAAGAATGACTGGCGGGGAGCCCAGCACCAGGGCCTTAGCTGCCAACCTGCAGCCGTCAACAGGATCGTAGAAACTGCCCGCGTCAATCAGAGCGCGCCCAGACGCCACCCCCATTGCAGCGCGGACCTCACCACCGATGACGCGCAGGAAACTGTCACGTAGAGCCGAGTTCCCCGCGACGGTTGCGCCCCATGGGGGCTGGCTCTCTTCGGGCCACTCCTGGGTCCGCGGCCCGCGAGAAAGAGGCCGCGTACGCGGCGCCGTGCCAATGGCGCCAACGACGCGGCCCCCTTCATATTTCTGAGCCAACGCGCGGCCGAGCGTCAATCCATAATTGCCGTGGCCACGTGAAACAAATTCCGGTTGCATTGAGAATGTCCGTCAGCTCCTGGGCGCCCTCGGCTGGGGGGCGCTCCGCATCTGCCGGAGACAGCCTGCCCGCGCCTCGCCCAGCCCGGGATCGCGCGGGGCGCGCAGCCTCACGCGCCGTGTCGTCAGACAATGGCGGTGGCTGTCGACGCTCGGCAGCTCCGCGGACACTGCAGAAATATCGAGGCGCCGCGCTCTGAACAGCATCCGGATTGCGCCACGAATCATGTTGTTTGCGTATTTTGGAATCGATAATATCCTCGGGGTGACGAAACATGGCGCCCTTGACGGCGAGCTCCTCTGATGCCTGCGGGCAACCCTTGATGGATCTACGCAGTGCTGGTGACGCGGCCTCAGTGGCCATCCAAGTCCTGAACTCATGAAGTCAACGATGCAGGGATCGACCTCGAGCCTTCCTGACAGTGCTCTCTGCAACTCCGACCATGTCCGCGAGCACCTCCATGGAGATCATCAGCGGGTCGCGAAAACAGGTGAGCCAAGACTCCAGATGCCAACGGCCATGAAGCAAATCGTGCGCACCAGTGGGGCAATCGCCAATCATGCGGGCGGTGGCTTCCTGCGTGCTGCGACTCTGGCGCCGACCGTTGGATCTTGCCTTGCGCTTGGCGAATCTCTCCTGCGTCGCAACCCATGCGGCGAACGCCCCGCTCATCTCAGCGACGCGCCGGCGCCCAACTATGCAAGCGATAGAGTCGCGAACAACTGCCCGGTCGCACTGAGCGGGGACAGCCGATCCGACTTCGATTGTCGAGCCAAAGCGTTGACGGAATAAAGCAAGACGGGGGGGCGGAGCGCGCGGCGTCAGCAGCAGCGGGCGCCCGGCCCCCTTCCAGCGCCCAAGCCCAACTTGGGCGAGCATCGCCTTGGCCAGTGCTCCGCGCGCCAGCGTTACCTGGCCGCGCGCATCAACGGCATCCGCCCCCGCTGCCCCCCGGCCGCCGGCGCGGCGGCCGCCGAGGCCGCCCCTGCCGCTGACGACTGCGCGCCGCGACCTCCAGCGCCCCCGCCCCTGCGGGGGGTTTTGCCGGGCGCGCAGACACTGGGCGGCGCGCGCCCGAGGGGGCCCAGATCTTCCGGGGGTTTTGCCGGGCGCGCAGACACTGGGCGGCGCGCGCCCGAGGGGGCCCAGATCTTGCGGGCGAGACGCCTGGCCCGAGCCGCGGCATTCGCTGCGCGCGCCAACAGCGAGGCCGCTCGGGCGCAGCTGGCCATGCCCCCCAAGCGCGCCCTCCGCCCGCGCGCGCGCGCGGCGGCCGCGGCAGCTGGGGCGCCGCCGACGCCGAGGCCGAGGCGAGAGCTCTGCGCACGCGGCGGGTCGAGGGCGAACGGGCTAAATTTTGCGCCGAGACAACAGAGCGGCGCGGCGCGAAGACGACGTCGCCTTGGCCGCCGATCCGCCAGTCGACGTTTCCCCGGCCGTCGTCGACCAGATGCGCCGGAAGCGCCCGCCCAGCGAACGGGCAGTTGACATGACCGACCTCCCTGCTGCCCACACGGCTGCCGCGCTGCAGGTGGGCACCTAAAGGGCGCCTCGCAGCCGCCTGCGCACAGGGGCGAGGTCGCGGAGCAACATGCCAGCCCGACGAACTCGCCCGCCAGCAGGCCCCCCCCCCGCCACCGCAGCGTTTATTCGCCGGCGCCTCCCTCGCGGCCCTCCCGAAAAAAGGCCGCGGACTACGCGGACTACGGCCAGTCGCCGTCGCCGACGCCGCGCGGGGCAAGCCGGCGCCCATGCAGGTCGGGGCGGCGGCACCTGGCGGCGCAGAGGCGGCCGTCCACGTCGCGCGCCAACGGTGGGCTCGCAACCAGGGCAATCGGCGGAAAGCGTTCGTCAATCTGGACCTTTCGAACGCCGTCAACACGCTGGACAGGCGAGCTGTTCTGCGGGCAGTGCGCGAAGACTTCCTTGGGTTGGCCTCATTCGCAGACTGGCGCAACAGCAACCCAACGCAGCTTTTCCTGGGCACGCGGGCGCTGCGCTCTGAGAGCGGGGCCCAACAAGGCGACCCCCTTCGGGCCATTGCTTGTCGCCCGCGCGCTGCAACGCTGCGCTCAACGAGTGGGTTGCGACAATTTTAGCCGGGGTTCGAGGGCGAGGGCGGCTTCTGACGCACTGGAACCAGTCCCAAACCTACCAGGTGCTTAAATTCAACGGGAAGGCGCGCACGTCTGGCACGCGACTGGTCCACGGCCTCTGCTCTTTCGGCAAAGCCTGGGCGAAATCGGCCCGACGTGGGGCCCCCCAAATTCCCGACGAAGAATACGGCCATCTCAAGGGCAGGTCGCGATCTGGAGCTATCAGGACCACGGCCGTGCTTGGGTGGAGGGCGAAGCCGCTCGCATACCAGCGGTTGATGCCAAGCACGACATGGCAGATGCGTTTGCGTCTGTGGTGCACCCGCGCTTGGACGACGCAACCTGCAGAATCTACCACAAGGACGATGCCCCTCTCTTGTGCCATCGACACCAGGATGCTACGTTTCTTGTGTAGGCCGACGGTATTAACTAATGTTTCAAAAATGGGACGGGAAGTCTTCAAGGGGACGCGGGTGCAGCAACAGTGTTTCGGGATGCTTTCAGTGTGCCGGTCCAGAGCTGGACGTCGCAACTAAGCCAGCGGCACCCACATGATCTGTATGCCATATGCCCCATCACAGGTAAAGAGTGTGATCTGTCACTGCGTGTGTATGCTGACGACGCGAACAAGTCGCACCAAACGAGTGACCCGGAACATACGCGCACTGCGATTCGGGGTTCGGATGCGATTTTTGACAGAGAGTTTCGCCAAAACGGCCTCTCCCAAAGCCACGGCAAGAAAGCCATTGCCCCCCACACTATGTAGGTCCAGGGTCGCACCGTTTCACACAGTACGTGTATTACATTTCTTGGTCCCTACCTGGGCACGTCGTTCAAAACGCTCCCTTCTTGGGAGCCTTGTTCGACGCTGGTCACGACTGGTGGCCTGAGGTTGAAGCGAGGTGCGCCGCGGTTTCAAGGGGATGGCACTCTATGAAACGGTTCTGGTAATCTTGCAAAAGCTGGCGTCACAAACGAGTGGTCTATCGGAGCAATGTGCTAGGCGCGGGCATATCTGGGCTCACGTCGCTTGTGCTGGATACTGCGCAGATCGACCGAATCGATTCGACGCGCGTGAGATGCGGACGAGCCCTTCTCGGGGGAGTAGCAGACAAGCAGATCCGGGTGGACGAGGAAGGGAGGGAGATCACGGTCATTCGTTCCCCCTCGAATCTGGAAGTCTGGAAACGTCTGAGGCTCGTTCCCATTGCGATCGAACTTCGAGTTCAGAGGCTAAGAGAATGGTAGAATATTTCTGCACGGCCCGAGTGGCGCTGTCAGGAACTTGCGTCTGTGTTCGGTGTCTTCCGGAATGAACTTCCACGCCCTCAGCTTTTCTCTCGGCTGCCCCCCGACTCCGGCGCCCCCCCCCGAGCAATCCATGGGCTGTGGAATTCCGCGGGGATGTAGAATCTGTTCGAAGCTTGGAAGTCGGAAGGGACCTGCGGGAGGCAATCGGGGATGATCCGTTGAATATTTTCAGAGACGGGGAGGCGCGCCGCATTTTTCGTTCAATGGATTTTGCAGTAATCCGCGCAGAATGGCCGCTCACCCCATTACCTCCCCCCGACCCCACGGCAGAGAGCGGGGAATGGGGGCGCCGTGGGCACGTGTGCGACTTGCTGACTGCCGACGGGCATGCGCGCATGCGACGATTCAGATCTAACCGGGCCGTGGTGGTACACCAACAACAATCGACGGGCGGACAACGCGGCGGGAGGGGGGCGATTTGCGCAGCGACGTCGACGAACCAATGCGCGGCATGCAAGAGCACTTTCAAGGACAGGACTACGGCGGCCCGTCATTCAACTAACGCCTGCAGGCATGGAAGGTGCATTGTAGACGGTTCGGCAAGAAAGTACATCGTAGTAGACCCCCCCCCCAACGACATTTGTTCGATCTGGTTTCAGCCCTTTCAGGATTTCCAAGCCCTGCAGGACCATCTCGCCCAACACTTGCCGCAGCCTCTTCCGGAGTTCTGGCTGCATGTTCTCGGCCCTCCCCGCCCCGATGGAGCTAGAGGCAGGCCGCCTGAAAAAGCAGGCAAAAGGCCACGACTCGGCCGACGCGGGCAAGGGGAAGGGCAAGAAGAAGGGCCGCGTGCAGGGCGGAGAGCGCACCGACAGCAAGCTGGTGGACGACGAGGTGATGGAGGGGCTCGAGGAGATGGACGCCTCCGAGATAGCGAGGCTCTTCCTGGTCGTGCTGAGGCTGCTGCCGAACTTGGGCGCCCGCGCCCGGCAGCAGGAAGCCGTGGCGCTGATCGCCCTCGTCGCGCCGGTTGGTCTGCAGCCGGTGCTGTTCGCCCGTCAGCGGGCCCAGGGCTGGGTCGAGGTGGCCCAGAAGGCTCGCGCCGAGGCGAAGCCCGAGGCCGAGACCGCCAAGCACGGCGCGATCTCATTGGCATGCGTGGTGGGACATGCGGGCGGCCTGGTCAAGGAGGGGGGGGCGGTGGGGCGTGCCAACAGCAAGGCTTTGACCGATCTGAGGTAGCACGTGGGCTCCTTGTCCATGGGCGCGGCGTCGGAGATTTTCATGATGGCGAAGGTTAGCAGCGCCCGCACGGAGACAGACGCGAAGATGCAGCTCAGCGCGAACGCGCAGACAATCGCGACCGCCAACTGCTCCGAACAGCTCGGAGCCGCTCACAAACACGGCGCGGCGCCAATGAGCCATCTCGAGCGGATCCTGCACACCGGCCTGAACACCCACAGCATGAAGTAGGCATCGGCCCGGGGAGTGAGGAAGGGAATCGGCGCTGCGACAATTCCTGCCCTCTTTCCCGCAGAGGGGGCGAGCGGCAGGCGTTGCGACAGAAATCGCCTAGTAATCCTGACCGTAGCTTAAGTGCGCAGTCGCTTAGACAGGGTAGTCATAATACGAGGGGGGATCGCAGCGCCGCAGCACGCGCCCCCCCACCCACACGCCCACCACCGCCACATCGCGAGGGAGATGGAGGCCGCGGCACACGGTTTAAGGGAGCGGGCCAGGGCATTCTTCCAACCTCTTCCCCTTCCTCTGCTTCTGCCTCTGCCGGCCCCCCCCCCCCCTCTCACGCCCGCAGTGCTGCCCGCTTATGCCGGGGAGGCCGGTTGTTTCGAAGCTGCGTAGTCCGCGCAGGGGGCAATGGCCTTCAATCTTCGAGCGTAGCTCGGTCTTAGAGAGCACTTCGCCAGTTCATTCACCAGTCTTCAGACACAGACAGCAGCTCCAGAGGGGTCCGTCCGTCCGTCCGTCTTCCCCCTCCCCGCCCCACCGCCTCCTCCTCCTCCTCCTCCTCCTCCTCCTCCTCCTCCTCCTCCTCCTCCTCCTCCTCCTCCTCTCCCTTCTCTTCCTCCTCCTCCTCCCCTCCTCCTCATCATCATCATCATCATCATCATCCCCCCTCCTCCCCCTCCCCCCCCTCCCCCTCTTCCTCCTCCCCCTCCTCCTCCTCCTCCTCCTCCTCCTCCCCCTCCTTCTCCTCCTCCTCCTCTTCTTCCTCCTCCTCCTCCTTCTCCTCCCGCCCCCTCCCCCCCCCCCCCTCCCCCCCGCCCCCCCCCCTCCCCCCGTGCGCCGTGGCTGGCTCGGCCCTGCGCGGCAGGCCGCGGCTTTGGGGCGCCCTCGGGCCTTAGTCGGCCTAGCAAGGCGAATGGCCAGGAGGGGGCCCGGCGGCCGCCGCTGGCGGCGGCGGCGGGCGCTCGAACTCGAGCGCGCCGCTCTGGGGGCCGCCGGGCGGCCTCGCAGGGGCGCGCCCGTAGCGCCCCCACTTCCAGACCTGGGGTCGGGCCGGCGGCGACGACGACGACATGTCGCTGGCCGTCTGCTGAACCGAAAGTGGAACTCAACGCCAATGACTGCAACGAGCGGGCGAGGGGGGGGGCGGGGGCATGGGGGGCGGGGGGCGAGGGAGAGGAGCCGAGGAGGAACACAAGGGCGAGAGGGGCGAGTGGGAGGGGTAGAAGATGAAAAAGACAGAGAAGAGGCACGGGCGGAGGAGAGGCCATGGGAAATCCGGGAAGGACGGCGGAGGGGCAGGAGGTGCCCCTTTGAACGCGTAGACGGCGCCGCACAAGCTGACGCGCAAGCACGCCCACTTAACCCGCGGGGGGCCGGGGGGCGCGGGCCACGGGGACAGGCGACGGCGCGACAACGATTGCATGATTCGATGCGATGCGGCCCGATACGATGCGAAGCGATACGATTCAGCACGGTAGGGCGGCGCGGTGCGCCATCTACGATGCGACGTGATACGAAGCGACGCGACGCGACGCGATACGACGCGACGCGATGCGACGCCGACGTCGCGCGGACGACGACGACGCGACAACGACGACTCGCGGCGACGACGCTTGTGGAACTGAGTGGCCCCGGCAGTAATCGCGGTAGATCGCTGGCCAGAGCCTCGCGAAGAGCCCCGGCGAGGAGTCGCACGGCCACCTCCCCAGACCGTCGGCGTCGCCCCGTCGGTCCGCAATCGAGATCGACGTCGCAACGAAGGGGGGGGCGGATGGGGAGGGGGAGAGGAGGGGGGGGGGGGCGAGAGGGGGGGGGGGGGGGCGGACGGAGGGGGGACGAGAGGACCATGAGAGAGGAGGATATGGAGGAAAGGAAGGAGGAGGGAGAAGCACTTGCCCCCCCCCCCCCCCCCCCGTCCTCCTTACTCGTCCTCCGCCTCCTCCTCTGGACTCCTCCTCTTCCTCGTCGGACTCCTCCTCCTCCCCCCCCCCCCCCCTCCTCCTCCTCTCCTTCTCCTCTCCTTCTCCCCCCCTCCTCCTCGCCCCCCCCCCCCCCCCCCCATCGCCCTCCTCCCCTCCTCCTCCCCCCCCCCCTCTTCCTCCTCAGAGCTGTGGCAGCGGGTATTCTCCTCGCTCTCGGGCCCCTCTCGCCTGGCCCATAGCACCCGGCCTTCCTCTCCGAGGGCCCCGCGGGTCCGAGGGCTCCTCTCCCCCTCCTTTCCCTTTTCTCTTATCCTGCTCTCTCTCTCTCTCTCTCTCTCTCTCTCTCTCTCTCTCTCTCTCTCTCTCTCTCTCTCTCCTCTCTCTCTCTCTCTCTCTCTCCTCTCTCTCTCTCTCTCTCTCTCTCTCTCTCTCTCTCTCTCTCTCTCTCTCTCTCTCTCTCTCTCTCTCTCTCTCTCTCTTTCTCTTTCTCTTTCAGTTCTCTTTCTCTTTCTTTTTTTTTTTTTCTCTCTCTCTCTCTCTCTCTCTCCTCTCTCTCTCTCTCTCTCTCTCTCTCTCTCTCTCTCTCTCTCCTCTCTCTCTCTCTCTCTCTCTCTCTCTCTCTCTCTCTCTCTCTCTTTCGGCTCTCGGCCAGTGCGATCCGCCCGCGGTTTCTCGACCGCCCGAGGTGCGACGTCTGTCCTTCTTCTTCGTTTGATGCAGCCGCGGCTGAGGCGACATTGCGACGCGTGTTTATGTCTCGCCGGCGTCGCTGGTGAGTCCCAGCGTTTCATTTTCGATTTCGGCCCGGGTACAATGGGCATTCTCTCGGCGAGGCCTCGAAACGCATCTGAAATTCGGTCGCCCATTCACGTGGAAAACAAAGGGGACCTTAGTATGACTGCGCTGGTGGCTGGTATCCGGACCCAAGTCTTTCCTGGAAAGAGTGGGACATTCGGACGTCATTCCTTACCTCCCCAGGAGAAGACTGCGACGCTGGCTTGGCCTCGTTCCCGCATTGGTCCAGCTGCGAACGAACAGACAGCAGCTTCGAGCTCCTGGGCGCGCCTGCGGGCGCAGGCGATTTCTGCGTTCCGCGCGCCCAGCAGCGGGTCGCAAAGGCCGCCGAGCTGCCGAGCGCCCCAGGGGCGCTGGAGAACGCGCGGGTGGCCCTGCACCTGCTCCACCACTGCGCATCCTACTGCGCGCTGGGATTTTCGCCGCGCGCGGCCCCGCCCGCGGCGCGCGCGGCGGCCCTGCAGACGATGGGCTCGGCTGTCCGGGCTTGCCCGGAGCAGGTCAGCGGTTCTTCGCCGGCGGAGGACTCTTGGGCGCAGGCGCAGCTAAAACTAAAGAGGGGGGGACTCGGGCTGCGCTCTGCGGAGAAGCGCGCGGTGGCGGCGCACTTGGCGTCGCGGGCCATGAGCGCGCGGCTCCACCGGCAGCTCTATTCAGCTTGCGACGACACCGACGGCGGAGACGGGGGCAGCTGGCCGCGGCCGCCCAGGCCTTCAACACCACGGCCCCACCGACCGACAGGGTTGAGCTCGACCCGCCTGGCAACCCGACCAGAAGCGCCTCTCCGAGAAGGTGCACGACGCCACCCGCGACGTGCTTTGGCAGCGCTCCTCTCCGGCCACGCGGGCCCACCTCAACCTGGTCGCTGCCCCAGGCGCCAGCGACTGGCGGCCCCTGGCCCCGCCCTGCGCAGCGATTGGCACCGACGTGTTTCACGGTCTGATGCGGATAGCGCTGCAGAGACGCCTGAGGCACCAGCTTCTCGACGAGGAGGCCTCTTGCCCGGCGCGCGGGGAGGCGATGGGCGCGTTCGCTGATCGCGCCTTCGCGCGCAGTTGCCGCGGCGACCGCGCCGACGCGACCGCCTCCGCGACGGGGCCCGGCGCGACGCGCTGGCAGCCGGCCACGTGGGCGCCGAGTTCGGGCGCCCTGGCCCCGCGCCGCCTTGCGCCCCCCAGCGACGGCCCCCCCGGCGGCGAGGGGAACGGGGGCGACTTGGGCGGCGGCGGACGGCGCCCCGCAGACGTTTTCGCCCCGCGCTGGCGCGATGGCATGCCCGCGGCCCTGGATTTTGCCGTCGCCAGCGGGCCCCGCGCGGACGCGCAGGCGGCTTCGGCCGAGGGGGCGAGCAGCGGCGGACCGCCACGAGGCGCAAGCGCCTCCACCAGGACACCCAGCGCCGCTGCTCCGAGGCGGGCACCCATTTCATACCAATGGTATGCGAGGCGCACGGTGGCGGATGGGGGCGGGAGGCGCGCCGCGCGTTCGCGACCCTTGCCAATCGGCTCGCCGACGCTTCAGGAGAGGGCGCCGCGCTCGCGGCGGCGCAGCTTGCCCGGCAACACTCCATCACCCTGCACAAGGAGAACTCGCGGGCAGTGCTGCGTCGCCTCGAGCCGCGGCCGGGCGCGACGTCGGCGCGCCTGGCGGCCGCGGCGTCGACGGCCGACGCCGCGCGAGCGGCGCTACGCGCTCGCCGCCGCAGCGCAGGCGCGGCCATCCTTCCCCGAGCCGCCAGGGGCCTTGACGCCCGCCTGCCGCGCGGGCGCGCAGCGCCAGCTACTGGTCCGACGGCCGCTCGCCGGCCGCCCCCAACGGCTGCCGACGACGCTGGCCGCGCCCCCGCCCCTGGCCTCCGCCCCCACGCGCGTCGTTGCCCTCGCCCGCCTTCGCCCCCGCCTACGCCGTCGCCCCCGCCCGCCCCGCTTGGCGCCCAGCAGCCGCCGACCACCGGCAGCTGGCGACAGCCCCCGCCCGCCCCTACGCGCGCGCCTGCTGCCCCCGCGTCTGTTCGGCGCGTTTCTCATCGCCCCCCCCCCTCCCCCCCGCGCCAGCGGGGAGATCCACCCCGCGGGCGACGCGCGGTCGGCGGGCCAGGGATTGTCCAAGATGGCCCCGAGGCCCCCCAGGCGGCTTGCAAGAGGCAACCGCATTTACCACGACCACACTCGGGGCCTGGGGGTTTGAATTGCTAGTTGGGCCTTCTACGAGCCTGGCTGGGCCCCGGGGGGGGCCCGCCTGACTGGCCAGGCTTAGAGAGATTCGAACATTTCCAGCGCACGGATTTCCAGCGGCAGAGGAAACAGGGTTCCCCGACGCCCTGTCGCAGGCCTGAAAGTCCGACTCGCCAGCCCACGTGCCCTCCCCCGCAGGAAGCAGCTCATCAATATCAGAAAACTCCATTCGGGTAGGCTGGGCGCTGCCAGGTATGACTTGAGACGACTCGGCGGCGACGGGATCTTCGCTGGCTTCATCTCCACCGGCCGACGAAGCCGAGACCAGAACGTCACCGAACAAAGCCGCGCGCTCAGGACGAATATTTCCGCGAGCCGCGTCCTGCTTACACAAGTGATCCTGCCCTGCTGCCGCAGACTCAGCTTCAGGAGAGGGGAGGGAGGAGGGGCGAGGGGTCTGCGGCAGTTTGGCAGGAAGGTCCAACATGCGCGTCAGCAACTGCTCACCTGCTCCTCGGCATGCCATCAACAAGCCGCAGCTTGCGCTCCAAAGCACGCCAGCAACTGCGTCGGCGGAGCACGCATATGGACAGAGGGACGAGCTAACAACAGCGTAGTTAGTCCCTCTCTGTGCCGGCGCTCTTGGCACTGGCTGTGCAAGTGATGGGAGCGCTGGGGGCTGCGACGACATGGCATCCGACTCGCTGGGCAAAACCCGGCGAACCAGGCCATCAGAAGACATGTTCCAATTCGCGAGAACAATCCAGGGCAATTGCTAACTGACAGCGAGCGCTCCGAGCCCGTTGAAACGCAGAGGGCCCCTGCTGGACCACCCTTGGCCCGAGCAGCCATAGAAGACGGTCGCGTTGAACGAGTAGCCTGTCACGTCGACCACCATCGCGCGGAGGCCGTCCAACGCCCGGCGGCCCTCGGCGCAGAGCTGGCCCCGCTCCGTCGCGAGCGCGTGGACGGAGCGGTGGCCTTCAGCAAGAAACCACTCCCCGCCCTCGTTGGCCGCTTGATTGCCCGAAAATCGTGCGCCAGCCTTCCCGGCTTCACGACGCTGGTGTTCAGAATTGTCGGAGTCGACGTGGCTCCACGATGGTTGCATTGTTCATGTCGAGGAGAGACAATGCATTCCCGCGCAAGCTTCCCTGCGCAAGTGATGCTAGCGAAGAAATGGCTTCATATCTCATTGTCAGAAGACTGGGATTGAGGAGGAGACTCGGAAAGAAGATGACCATGGCCATGCTCTCTGGCAGAGTTCCAAGGCGTCGGCCTCCCTGCCGGGGAACTGCCACGCGCCCCAGCCGCCGGGCCGGTCGCGGCGCTGCTCCTGGGCGCTGCCCCTCAGGGCGGCGCGGGCACAGCCGCGGCTGGCGGCGCGACATCGGCCTGCTCCGCCAGCGTCGCCGCCTCGAACTTCACCTTCGAGAGCCTGGCGGCCGCCTCCTCGCGCCGCTTCGCGCCCGCCTCAGCTGCTGCCGCGGCCGCCGCGACCGCCGACTATTGAGCTCGAGCTGCCGGCGCCCTCTGCGGCCGCTTCTGCGCCGGCAGGAGGCGCGGCAGCAGGAGGTTGCCTGCCAGGCACGGCATCCCCGCCCGCGCATTGCGCATGGCTGCAGCCTTATCCTGCCACTCCTTGATCTCCGCGCGCTTGCCGCCGAGGCTGGAGCACGCGGACTCGAGCTGCGCCTCGGGCTCCTGCAGCGCCTTCAGCTCGTGCTCCTCGCGCTCCATTTTCTCGATCTCCGAGAACCGCTTCTCGTCGATGCCCAGCTTGAAGTACGCGCGGCCGCTCTTGGCCTCGTCTCACTCAGGCTCCTCGGCAGCTGGCACGACCTGCATCTTGAGCGCTACGACACGCGCCGCTTGCCTTTTGGCCTCGTCGGCTTTCGCGAGCTCCAGTGCTGCCTCGCGTTCCTTGGCCTGGGCCAGGCTGGCCTCGGCCTCGAGCGCCGCCTCGACTGCCTGGTCGTGCCTCGCCGAAGCCGCCTTCCATGCCCCCGACGTCTCCTTGACGTCACCCTCGGCTGACATGGCTGGGGCGATGGCCTCCTTCGTCCTGGCGAGCTCGTCAGTGAGGAGCTTCGCCAGGAGGGGGTTGCTGGTGACCCTGAGCTTCTGCTGGATTAGCGCGATAGAGTCACCCTCGTTCGCGGCCTGGCGCCCTTGCTCTTCCCGATGATGCTACCGGGCACGAGCTGGCAACTGGTTGTCATGGGCGAACGACTTCGGCTGGTACAGTTTGACCTCTCGATTACTCTGGCAGCAGCGACGGTCACTCTCGAGCAGCACCGAGTTGTACTCGCACTTACCGCAGCCGCTGCAGTTCGACCAGGGCCTGGATGCGTCGGCTGGCTTCGGCAGGTTGCATCGGCCACCCTTGCCCTTCGAGCCCTTGCGTTTGCCCCAGGCCTGGGATCTGCCGCTACGGCCCATGGCGGAATGGAAGAAAACTGCAGAATCGGGTTTCGTATGAAAACTCTCACCCTTCGCCAGCCAGATCCCCCGCGCTGAAACCTGCACGGAGGGCCGTGCGTGGCACGGCTGACTGGATGCCCCCCAAACACCGCGTGGAGGTGGCGAGATGCGACCCTATGCTGAGGGGTGGGGTGCACCACTCAGCCCTTCCCCTCTGAGCCACACTGGCTTGAGAGGAGGACGAGGAGGAGGAGGAGAAGGAGGAGGAGGGAAGAGGAGGAGGAGGGGGAAGGGGGAAAACAGAAAAGGGATGAGGGAGTTGGATGGAGGAGGAGGAGGAGGAGGAGGAGGAGGAGGAGGAGGAGGAGGAAGAGGAGGGGGAGGAGGACCAGGCGGATGATGAGGAGGAGGAGGAGGAGAGCAGGGAGAGCAGAATGGCCAGAGGTCTTTTGGATGCCTTTCGGAGTCTTTCCGGATGTCTCTTGAGAGCTTCTTGGGGCCCTCCGGAGGGCCTCTTGGCGGTCCTGGGTACCTCTCGGAGCGTCTTGGGTGCCTCGAGGAAGCTTCTTGGGGATCTCTTATGAGCCTGTTGGGGACCTCTTGAGGGCCTCGTGGGGCTCTCTTCTGGCTTCTGTGGGGCCATGATTATTGGGGCCATCTCGAAGGAGATCGATCAAAGACGGCGGGTACTCGACTAGACCCTCCCAAGAGCCCAAAGTTGGTCCACTGCCTCAGGTGATTGATGTGTGCCTTCTCGCCAAGGCCGTCTTGGACGCTCCAATCGGTTGCGAAACGCCCCGTCCAGGTCCAGGGGAGGGGGGAGGTTTACCCCTCCCCAGAGGGAAGACAGGGGAGGTGGAAGAGGAAGCCACTCACTCCATCATTTCAGGGCTGGCGGGATTATCTTGGCGAAGGGCCCGACCATATGCAGCTGCGACCACCGCAGGGCAAGGGATATGAAGGATGGGAGCGAATCGTATGAGGGGTGTGCCAACACTGCGAGGTGGCGACGTGCGGACTTTGCCGCGGGGGCCTTCGGTGGAGCTCCCGAGGGGACCGCGAAACGCGCGAAGGGCGCGCCGAAATGGGGCCGTGCCGCCTTAGGGACTTTGCTGCTGGGGCTCTTGGGTGGAGCTCCCTTTGGGGCCGTGAAGCGTGGGATGGGTCTGCCGAGGTGGGGCGGTGCCGCCGTGCGGACCGTGCGTGCCACCGGGGCCTTCGGAGGAGCTTCCTGTGGGCCACGAAACGCGCGAGGGTTGCGCCGAGATGGGGGGGCCGCTTGTGGGGCCGCGAAGCGCGCAATAGGCGCCGCGAGATGGGCGCGGAACAGCATGCGGACCTTGCCATGGGGGCCTGCGGTGGAGCTGCTTGCGGGGCCGCGAAACATGTGAGGGTGTGCCGAAGTGGACGGGGGACGCCATGCGGACTTTGCTACTGGGGCTTTCAGAGAGGTCTTTGTGGGGCCACGAAGCGTGTGAGGGGGTGTGCCGAAATGGGCTGGGGGACGCAAGCGCTCTTCGCCATTGGGGCTTTCAGTGGAGCTCCCAATGGGGCATCGAAACGTTTGAGGGAGTCCCCGAAACGGGCTGATGGACGCATGCGGACTTTGCCACTGGTGCCTTCGGCGGAGCTCTATGTGTGGCCATGCCATTGGGACCTTTGGTGGAGCTCCATATGGAATCACGAAACGTTTGAGGGGTGCGCCGAAATGGGCGGGGGGACGCAGGCGGACTTGCCACTAGGGCCTTCGGTGGAGCTCCGTATGGGGCCACGAAACCTGCAAGGGGTGTGCCGACATGTGGGCGACGCGAACAAAAACGTGGTCGCCTGCGCCGACTTTGGCGCGTGAGCTGCCCGCGTAAGCTCGCGCGCAGGCGCCCTCGCTTCAAGTGTGGCGTGCCGCGCGGGCGGCACGCGTAAGCCACCGCGTAAGGTCACTACGCCATCTCGCGTAAGACCCGTTTTTGAGCGTCGCTCATGTGCGCGTGGAGGGCAGGATGGGGGTCGAAGGGGTTGGGCGCGGGGAGCAGGCAGGATGGGGGCAGGCAGGATGGGGGAGGGAGCAGGCAGGATGGGAGCAGGCAGGATGGGAGCAGGCAGGATGGGGGCAGGCAGGATGGGGGCAGGCAGGCATGCAGGCGCTCATGTGCGCGTGGAGGGAGCAGGCAGGATGGGGGTCGAAGGGGTGGGGCGCGGGGCTGTCTTTCCAAAACGAGGGCCAAACATCACAGGACGTCGTGGTCGCCCTCGTCGTGGTTTTCGACGTCGCCGTCGCCGTCGTCGTCGTCGAAGACATAAGCTCTGCGCGGACATCCACAAGTTTGTGTGCATGCAGTTTTTTTTGAATACCCCTCTGAGGACGAGGTCCCCTTTGCGGACACCCCGTACCGCGTGCGGTTCCGGGTGCAGAACCCGGCCCAGCCGGGCGCGGCGCTGTCCTGGCGGGTGGAGCTGTGGCAGCAGGGCGACACCAGGCCGCTGGCCGTCACGCGGCAGATCCGCGGGGTGCCCGTCTCGGGGACCATGGACGCCGCGCTCGCCCCGTCCAATCAGCTGCTGGGCGCCAGCAACGTCATCAAGTTTGACTTCACCCCCTCTCAGGACATCGGCGATTACACCGGGACTCGCCTGGAGGTCGTGGCGCCCGAGGGTTTCTTGATCAAGAAGACGCCCCAGAACTTCGAGCTCATCGACATCCCAGACTGCACCGTACTGGGATCGGACTCTAACTCCTTCTCGCTGACTTTCACGGAGAGCAACGTGATCAGGGCTGGCGACCAGTACATCTTTGCACTCGAGGTGACAAATGCCGAGACCGTCGTGGCAGACGACCTGAACTACTGGAAATTCGAGACGGTGCGCCCAAATGGCTTCGGAAGGGACACGGCCCGCTACGCGGGCTTCGACATGTACCCCGTCGAGTTCTTGTCTTTCAAGGTTGTACCGGTGTCCAGCTATGCGGGCCCGCAGTACGTGGTCGTCAAGTTCAGGTCTCCGACGACCATTCCTGCTCTGGACTACATTCGAGTGCGAGCCCCTGCCGGAGTAAGCTGGTATACGACGGACCTCGATTTCGAGACCGCTGCCGCCGCCACTGGCGCCCAGGACCTTGGGACCAAATACCCAGTGGTCGGCTTCACCGCTACAAATGAGCTTAGATTTCAGCTGACCTCGACCGCGGTGGCCGAGCTCGAGTACGGGTTCCGATGCAAAGTCGAGGTCCCCGAGGTCACGCCAGTCCCGAATAGGTGGTGGATCGAGCAATATAGGGGAACTGGCTCGGCGTCCACGGCGACATGGAAAAACATCGCTGCTATGGGCGTCGACGGGTTTACGACTCAGGCGCTCATCAATGTCGTCATTACCCCCTTCAGCGTCGTCAAGGAGAGCTGGAACAACCCCACCTACTTCGTATCGAAGACGCCTGCGGCGAATCACCACCGCCCCTTGCTTTCTGGAAATGACGACTTGCCCAAACGTTGGGCCAAAGCTTGGCCGAACCATTGCACTATGTTATTCCCCCAGCCGTTGTGGAAACCCTTGGAGGAAGCCGTGGGGAAAGAAGAGAGAAGGAGGAGCAGGAGGAGGAGGAAGACGAGAAGGCAGGAGGAGGACCAATGCAAACCCAAGACTCATCAAATATTGTGCAATCAACCCTTCCTCAAAGTTCCTTCCTCATGGGTCCCTACAAGGAGACATTTTCACTGTGCCCCGTTGGAAGACAACCGTCTTAAAATCTTCAACCATGCCGAAGCACCATTCCTGTGACTTCAACGCCGCCAATCAACGTAACTGTTGCGTCCTGACGGTCCCGAATGGTGGCAGGACGCTGTTAATTGGAGTTCAACACCGCAAATCAAAATAATTGTCGCGCCCTGACAGTCCTAAATCGTACAAAAACGCAGCTTCTGGGACGTCTACCATGAGACTCCTTGAACAGCTGTAATTTGCTCAGACGAATGCGCGCGGCGCTATGGCGGTAGCCACATATTGAAAACGAGCCGCCGTCCATCCATGAACCTCTTATGAATTTTGAAGACGGATGCGCGCGGCGCTAAGGCGAGAACCACATTGTGGAAACGACACGCCCTCCATCCGTGAATCGCTTGCAAATTTGGAAGACGAATACGCGCGGAGCCAATGCGGGAGCCACATGTTGAAAACGAACCGTCTCCCACCCTTGAAGCCCTTCAGCATAAAACGAATGTGTTCGGCGCCAGGGGGCGAGCCGCATGTTAAAAACGAACCGCCCTCCATCCGTAAAGCTGTTACATACGGGAAGCATCGTGATCAAGCATAGTGAGGGGGTCTCCAGCACAACGCCCGGCCCGCCCGACCGACCCGTTTCGAAGTGCGACGGAAAGAGTTGCTCAGAAGGAAGAGGGGTGGAGGAGGAGGAGGAGGAGGAAGAGTCAGAAGGAAGAGGGGTGGAGGAGGAGGAGGAGGAGGAGGAGGAGGAGGAGGAGGAGGAGCGGCGTCTGGCCGAGGAGATTCAGGGCGTGAGTCTTCTATGCCCCCGAACGGCCAAACCCAGTGGTCGACCGGGCAACAGAGATTCCTCTCGAATGGAGCCCAAATTGGCACCGCCGTGCCAGAGCTCAGCGCTCGGCGGCGAGGCAGATGGTAAAGTTGCAGCAAGCAGTCAGCAAGCTGCAAGACCATGTGTTCTTGGGTATGAATGGAAAGTGGCTGTATGCGTGTGGCGAGTCGGTCCCCTATCATTTCTCATGGTGTGCGTGTGGAAGATCGTGGCTACGTCAGCACAGCAGAGACAGTCTCCATCGAACCAGGCCGCCGAGCAGAAGCAGGAACGATTCCACACCGCCTTTACGAGGCAGAGCGCGGACAAGATGTGTGGGCAAATGCTAGACCAGCATATGCGCAAAGTTATTTCCATGACAGCCTTTTTGCGCATCCACAGAAAGCTGAAGCATCCCCAATTTGAACAACGCCGCCGCCAAACCCGTACTCCCAGAAAAAGAGCAGAGAGGAACTACGGCAACGGTTGTACAGGATGCTGCGCATGGTGATGCCAGCGCCGATGGTTGGTCAGAGAGACGGCACGTCCTTGAACCAGATCGCGTTGAAAACGTACCCTTTACTACTGCTCCAGCTTATTCAGCGACGCAGCAGCGAAGCGAAACAGAAGTTGGAGAAGGCAGCGGAAAAGGCAACGACGACTGATCGACAAGGTGAGAGGGGCGCACCATGTCGAGCCCAAAGGCCAACAGAACGTGCAGTTCATCCACACGTGCGGCGACCAGCTAGAGACCATAAAAGCCGAGACGGAGCACGACTGGATGATGGCAAAGCCACGCAATGCGATGACGTCACCAAATATCCGCGGTGATGCGGCCCACGTACTAGTCACATGTCGCTGGGCCACAGGATGCGGGATATGAGGTGGCAGGCGTGCGTCAATCTCGTAGACTGCATGGTGAGCCAGCAGCAGAGCATGGTGACCTTAATGCAGCAGGCCGCCGCGTGCACTGTCGCCCAAAGTGCCATACCAGTGATGATGCCTGGGCCTCCCCCCTGCATTTAGTGACGCAGCCTGCTCAACGCACGTGTTCGCTTTTTGTCCTGCAGGCTGTTCTTGCAAGCGTTTGCGCGATGGGCTCGGGGGGCGCACCTCCCTTTTTTGGACGCAGTTGAGCCCGTGCACGCAAGCGGCTTCTTCATCGGCCTGTCTATCTCCGCCGATTGGGCAGTCTGGAGTTCAGTCGGGGGCCCCTACCGCCTACGGCGCCACCCCCAACGGCAGGGACTACGGCAGCCGCGACCTTGGAGGACATAGCGAAGCACCAGGCGATGATGGTCGAGGGCAAGGGCACAGGAAAGAATTCTGAGGATCCGATCGCGGGGCTTACCATGGGAAGTGCTCTTGGGACGGGGAAGAAGAGGAAACCCATTCTGGGCCCCCATCAGCACGGGCTGCGCCAAGACCAAAGGTGACCCTACCCCGGCACAGACACCCACCTTCAGCGACCAGTGCAGCCCATGCCTCCTTAAGAAACTACCCCAGGATCAGCAGCGTCGATCGCGGCGGGTCGCGTGGGGCAGGCGTTCAGATAGACCGCGAGCTCCCAGGGGCTGAGCGTCCGGGAAAACGGGTTTTCCCTTCCGAGTTGGTTCCCCACAAGGCAGGAGATGCAGGAAGGGCCCTCTCCGCCTGCGTCGGCGCGGACAGTCGCGGCCACAGCTTCAGATGAAGCGCCGGGATCAAGTCCCTCCGGCGAACTTCAATGAGGGGGCAGGGCAGCCAGATCAACGCGCCGCCCTCGATCGAGTGCAAGCGAGGGAGGGGCGATGCGCCCACCCTTAGCAGATACAGCACAGCCACCAACTTGGGCATTGATCGAGCGACCAAAGGGCAACAAGCCCACAACACCTCGCAGATTGCAGTGGATGATCGGTCGATGTCAACTAGGACGGCGACCTTGGCGCGCGCATCTAGATCGCCTGGGCCGTCTGGGCCAGCGGCCCCCTCTCGGACGGCACCCCCGCCACTCCCAGCGGGAGAAGTGGGGGGCGCGCAAAGGCAGCGCGTTTGACAAGGCTTTGCATTTTGGATTTGGACCCTAACGATTCGGTGGCTTCGCGCTCTACTACACCCATATGCGATCCCGCGCAGGCGCCCAAACAGATTCAGAGAGCAAGACCCAAACGTTCGGGTCGTCGTCGCCTCTGCCGCGCGCCCCGCGGCAGATCGTCAGCCGCGAAGTTTTGAAGCGGACTGTGGGCGCGGCCTAGCGGGGCGAGCAGATGACGTTTGGCGACTGGTCGCGCCGGCGCGCCCCCGCCACAAGGGGTCGCGCGGACATGTTTCGCGAAGGGAAATCCTTCAATATGCGAGGCGCCATGCGCAGAGACATAGAAATTGTTATGCGGCGGCTCGCCGCGCTGCTCGCGCAAGCCCCCGCGGGTGCGATGCGGCGGCAATCGTGAGACGCGATTGGCGACGGTCCCAGCGCGCATGGCATGGGACGCGCGGACCCGGAGGAGGTGCCCGCGCACGTCGCAGGCCCAGCGAAATCGAGCGCATGGCTGAGCAGAAGGACATCATTCTTGGCAGCGGAAAGGACGACCCAACAATACGCACGCCTTGCGGACGGGTCTAGGCACGTCGACCAGAGCGAGTCGGAGAGCAGCTAGTACAAGGCCGCAGACACCCTTCAGGTGCCCAGACATTCGCCCTCCGCCAGCTGAGCCCCCAAACGCCCAGCGGCCGGCCGCCTGCGCCCGTTCGCGTTGCTGCTATCGGCAAGTTCTCGCGTTTTGCTCTGCGCGAGCGCGTTCAAGTCGGCGCGCGCGTAGCGCGCGCGGAGCACCGAGCACAGCGGGCTCAGCCCACGCGCGCCCCACTGAGCACCGCGTCCAAACCCGCGTCACAGGGCGCCCAGGATGGGCCGAAGCCCAGCCGGCCCGGGGGGCGCGAAGCCTTGGAAGGGAGGCGGTGAGCCCCGACATTGGGGTGTGCACACTGCGTTGTTCCCCCCCCGTGGAAAACCTTGGTTTCGTGGCCTATGCGCCCGTAAGCCCCAAACCCAATGTTTTGTTTAAACTGCCATCTCCGTAACAAAATTCCAGAAATGGTAAGCCCTTGACGCGGGCGTAGCCGATTGGCGAATCTTAGTAGCTTCCACTCCGTGCTCGTAAGGGCTTGGTGCCAATGCGCGTTGACCATTTCGCGTGCCATCACTCATGTAATGCACGATAAGGTTCTCGCGCTTTCTCTCAAACTCAGCCGCGCTCGGACTCAGATTCACTCACGTCCGCTCAAATTCAGACTCACTCGCACTCAGACTCACGCCAGCGCTCACTCACTTTCAGACTCACTTACACTCAGACGGCCAAACATATCGTCAGCACGCAGTCTTTAGGCCGCCCCGCCCCATAGCACCCCAAGGTCCCCATGAGCTTGTAAATCCCTGAGGCAAGGAGGGGATGCGTCTTCGCATAATCAAAGTATCCTAGCGCCCCAACCGCCTGTGAGCCCCGCGGGGGCTGGTGAACCCATTGTTTCTCTGAGGTGTCGTGTATGGTCTTATGATGAAGGCTTGAGGGGGATCTGGGTGACTGCGGCCTACACAGGGCCTTACCAAAGCAATGCACACGTCCATCGCATCGCGCTCGTCATCATCATCACCGTTTCCATTTGGGCTCGAACGCATTTAGCAGCATGCGGGCTGCAGTCGCATTGAGGGGCTCATCGGCCCCGTCCAGACCAACGAAGAGGCAGCGATGCGACGCTCAACACATTGTCGCTGTCAGTTCTGAGGCTTCTCATGCAGACAGGAGGCGAGCGGAACGACAGATCACTGCAACAGGCCATGTAATCAGTATCTCCCCGTTACGTGATTCAGATCAGAGAAAGCACGAATTTCTCTGGCATCCATGTGATTGCGTCGAATGGCATCTCGGCGACGTGCATCGTTTTCCAGCTGTTGAGATACCTCACGGTGCTTGTAAACAGGGGACTTGTTTCGCCCGGCACTTCAAGGATGGTGAGATGATGGACCCGTGCCTGCGAGGTGCTAGAATCGGTATCATGTTGCCCAGGCTCCAGTACAAGCTATTCTCTTCTCAGCATCGCACGTGGTTTGTGACACATCGGCGAGCCGCCGATGAAGCTGGCATGGCCGATCTGGTTGCTCTGGGCCCCCTGCCTGCTCGAGATCAGCCTCTTGGCGATGCGGGCGGCCCGCTGGACGACGGCTACGATGGCATGGCCGACGATGACGCCGACGAAGAGGATGCGAAGTACACTCTGGACCAGATCGTTGCCGCAGTAATGATTTCCCAAGATCACAAATCAGAACCACTTCAAGGCTGTCTTGCAAAATTCTTACAGATACGCTGGGGTGGAAGACCTAGTTGGAGATGACATATGCCCGCATCGCACTACTTTAGACAGGCGGCGTTTCAAAATGGATCGGATCCTGATGCTGTTTCGGCGGGCGCAGTGGCAGCGTGGTTTCTACCGCGACTGTTTTTTTCAGTTCGGCGCAGATTCATCGCCGCAGATTGGCGAAGATTACTTCATTATTCTGGAGGAAGTGCTTTCAGTGTCCAGGCGCCCGGGTTGGGAACATTCGCCCCTCAGCGTTCTCTCTGTAGAAACGCGCGCCAAGCCATTGACCACCCTGGGCTGGGGCGAAGCGAGCTTGGCGAAAAAGCATATACGGGTTGCTCATTCGATGTACTTGGAAGTTGGAGACGCACACCAAGAGCAATACCGCTTGAAGATGAGGCAAGGCTACTCGGATCAAGGCACTGAGCGACAGCTCTGGAAGTGCCCAAACATCTTTGGCGTTGGCAACGGCCAGACTGCGCAGATTATCGAGCGGCTCGCGTCAGGAGATTTGCAGTTGCATGACCTTGATGCGGAGAAGGGGATGATGTGGCCCAAAGCTTGGGATACGCCTGGACATCTACATATGCTCTTTGGCGCGCTGAAGAAAGGCTGCCTCGCCATGCCGCAGTGGATGGACCTCGAAGCTGGTTTCCGTGGGCTTGGAACGTTCATGAGCAAGCGAGGTCTCCGAAAGAGGCTCGTCAACAAATGCTTCCAGGACCGCACCACCGATGCTGCTATATTTTCCAAGTGGACGGGTGGGAACTTTTCTTGGAGGTGGGAGAAGCTATATGTGTTCTTGCTGCAGCTACGCCCTCGGATCAAGATACTCATCGAGGTTTGGGACCCAGAGGTGATGTCACAGCAGGAGCGTGAGCATGACGATGACGAAGAATCCAAAGGCATCTTGCGCCGCGTCACTGCAGCACTAGCCATTCCTGGCCTGCCGATCGTGATCGAGCTCCTCTGGGTGAAGGTGCGGTCGATCTACATCGAGGGACGCTGGCTGGAGGGGTGCCGATGCCATAGTCGATTGCGTCGACCAGTTCACCATGGTCTACCAGATAACCGTTCAGATGAGCATGAGGGCTCTGCGCGGTGCCCATGGAAAGGGCGCCGCGCCGTGGAGCTCGCTATGGGTCATGCGGAAACATCTCGGCGCATGCTCGTGGAGGCGACGTCGGAAGATCTGACTCGCATGCTGAATTCTTGTGATGAACCCTCTCGAGCTGCGTACCTCCAGGGCAACGATATCTTGGTCAGCACTATCTCGGACGAGCTGGCTGCGAAGTTCGCGTACGCAAACGAGTACCCCGTCAAGTTTTTGAAGGTTATGTGCAGCTACTTTGGTGGGGCGATTGCAGATTCGAAAGCTGGTTACAGAGAAGCATTTGACTGGTACGACGGTCTGCCTAACAAATCTGTTTGCCCCCCATGTCTGTCGATGTTCTTGGCGCCAGGGGACCTGCGAGTGGCGGCGGAAGAGTACCTCAATGCAGACAACAAGCCAGTGCACGAATGGTGGCCATTGTTTCAGGAGCTAGTTGTGGCCAGCGCGATCCTACTTGTCGAACGCCGTCTTGAGGGTCAGCATTCCATCATTGGGTCTGATGGCAAGCAAGCTCTCACGAACAGGAAGTTGCCACCGAGCGTCTCTGCAAACCTCAGACACTGTCAACTAGAAGAAGCAGTACGGCATGAACTGTTCTGGCACACCTTGGAGACAGAGTGGTATGGTAGATCAATGTGGCCACAACTTCTGTCTCACCGTGTGGGCCCGGTTCAATTACAGTGCTTGTCGTTGAGTGAGAGGTACGAGAAGCTCTACATGTACGACGAGGCTGCGTGTTTCCAGCGCGATGCAAATCTTGACGCATGCATAGTGGGTTGGAAGAAGGCGCTGGCAGACATCGAGCCAGCCAAACCATTGCCATTGACAGAAGCGCAGTCGTGCTTGATTGAACACTTCAGGTCCTTGCTTTGGCGCGGATGCGTCTTGTCTGTGCCGCTTTGCGCCGTCGCTGAGGACGACGACCCCGCCAGCACGGCGGCTGCCATATTAGATACATTGCAGGAACCTCCACCGGCACCACTTGATGCATTGGGTGACGACGTGAAGCTTTACGAGGTGGCGCATCTCAACCCAGGACGCCGAACCTTGGCCAACACTGCGGTGAAGGAGCACATCCCGTCGACGTGCATCAGCGTCCGCGAGCTGAAGCCCATTGGCGTCATCGAGAATGGTCGGGTCAACATTGAGCAGGGCGAGAACGGCGTCCAACTGTTTGATTTGGGCAAGTGGACTACTCAGCAGAGGTTTCGGCATATGTGTTCGAGGGTATTCTTATGGCGATTAGCCCACGAATCGACCAGCCTCCATCCAGCGCGTGATGTCTGTCCAGCCTTGGAGGACGTTCCAGCTGAGGACGAGGAGGAGCTACACGACGAGGGCGCGCCAGTATTAGACATTGTCCCACATGTACCGATGACGATGGCAACCCACATCGAGAGCCTCTCCCAGTTGGCGGCCATGGAGAAGACGTATGTGGGCGGCATACCTATGTTTGGAAATCCAAGTCTGGAGACGATCAGCAAGCACAGTATAGACGCCCTTCTCCGCTGCGGCATTCTGGTGAAGCAGGAGAGCGAGTTTGGCGACGAGGTCATGGACATTAACTGGCGGAAGGTACGTTGGGAATCACATCGGGTTGCATTTGATCCTGTTCCATTTGCCAGACACGTGAAGGATGCTTGTGGGTTTCGCGATCTCTCGAAAGTTTCGTTATGCGTTGCTTTGTTGGACATGGGCTGGGTACCTATGAGACGCCCTGACCCGATAGCAGCAACAGACAAGATATTCTGTTATGAGAACTTGTTCAGGAGCAAGTCTTACTGGCTCGCTCTGCTCAATGCTAAGGGAATTCTAGAGGACAAGCACGTGGCAACGATCTTGCACAACAAGCCATACGCTTACTATGAATGTTTGATCCAGCTCCCAGAAGAAAAGCTGCGGGCGATTCTCAACGACCCGAGCTTCCCCCGCTTCACAAACAAGGACTTCATGAGGTTTTTGAAGGGCGAGGGCATTGCGATAGAGCCGATGGTTGCAATTGAGGGTGGAGGCGCAGACCCATTGGCCCTGGCCCTTCACGAGGATGCCGAAGCAATCGTCCACGCGCCGATCAGGCCAGCCATCCGCCCAAAGCAGCGGATCTTCGGCAATGGACTGTTCAAGATATTTTTCGATGGTTGTTCGCACCAGAGCGGTGAGCAACGAGCCTACATCAAATGCCCGAATGATGACCACCATGCGCATCGGCTCTGTGTAAGATACACGTTTCTCCACGTACATGGATCAGAGAAAGACTGCTGCGCATTTCTGATTGCCTGGGCCAAGGACGGTCGTCATGCGCACGACCGCGATCATCATAAATATTTCTTTCCTTCTGATGCACAGCTTGTGACCGCCAGAAAGATCGTCGGTGGATAGAGTGGCTGAAGCACCGCATGGAAAATCGTCGTCGTCACAGACATCCCCCACGTCCGAACATCGCAAACATAACAAGTGTAGTACATCAACATAAACAGCACTCTTACTCGTTGGACTAGCAACGCATGGCATAGCAACGCGTGGCATAGCACGTCAGGCGTAGCAACGCATGGCATAGCACAACGCTGACCCCTGGCATAGCATGGCATAGCACAAGCATGGCATAGCACAAGCATGGCATAGCCTGACCCCATGGCATAGCACAAGCATGGCATGGCGTAGCAACGCATGGCATAGCACGTCAGGCGTAGCAACGCATGGCATGAGTGTGGGATCGACGACCCCTGCACGGTTGAAAGCTTCGCGCCTGGAGAAGAGCTTTTCGAGGACAAAGGCCTTGTCACGCATGCTTCCGCACGCCGCAAACAACATTTCTGAGTCCAAACCTGTTTTTCTCAGTCGTTGCACCCTCAATCGCAAGTTTCAGAGAGCCGCGTCAACAAATCGTTGACTTTTTCTGAGCTCTGGCTTCTGGGGCAGACCAGCGAGGATGAAGGGGCGCCCGGGGCTGTGGGAGGGGCGGAGAAGGGGCGGAGAAGGGGCGGAGAAGGGGCGGAGAAGGGGCGCACAGAGGTGAAAAGGGGCGGAGAAGGGGCGGAGAAGGGGCGGAGAAGGGGCGGAGAAGGGGCGGAGAAGGGGCGGAGAGGGGCGGAGAGGTGGCGGGGCGAGCCCCGGGAGGGCCCGGGAGGCCCCGGAGGCTCTCGGAGGCCTTGAGAACTTTTGGGGAGCCCTGAGAGGCCCTGAAAGCGTCTGGGAGAGCCCTGAGGGCCTTGCGAGGCCCTGGGAGGACCCTTGGGAACCGTGGGACGTTCTCCAGAGGCGTTTGGAGCGCATAGGAAGACCCTTGGAGGCTTCTCAGGGTTTGCGAGGCCTTGGAGGCCCTTGCGTGGCATGCTCGAGGGGCTGCTGACTTGGCGATCTTTGATCTGGCAATCCAGCGTTCTGGAGTGATCCGATTTAGCCATTTGGGCTCAAAATTCTGGAGGTCTGCATCGCACCGCATTTGTGCTTGCCCGACATCGTCACTCGACATGTGGAGCCGCAAGCGTGTCGCTTGCGCATCAGACTCCGATTGCGAGTTCGTCCCATCGTCACCCGGGAGCGGCGCAGAGGTTGACGCCAACATCCCAGGCGAACAACAATTGACGAACGTCCATGACACCGTTGAGAACAGAGATCTGTATACTGGTATGCTGGAGGCCAACCACTACTTGTGGATTGGTCCACCCTCTTCACTCCCTGCCTTGTGGAAGGAGCTGCACAGCGACGCTTACACATTCTTGCCCAGGAATTTCTCTGATGCTCGCTTAGCCATTCAGAATCAGTTGAAGCTGAACTTCAACGAGGCTACCATCTCGTACTGGCACGCTCTCCTACTTGAGGCTGCGCCGAACTACTGCGAGTACATGTACGCCCTGGAGGACATCATCATGATGGAGCTGCTGCAGATGTTCAAGCTCATGGCTGTTCCTGACCACGAGACCAACTGGAAGTTCGACTTCGTCGAGGGTTTCAGCGGGCGCCAGCGGTTGTCTCAAGCTTTCAGGCGCCAGCGCTTGCACGGCGTCGCTCTGGACAATCGCTACAATGACGACCTGGACTTTTCCAAGAAGAAGGGCTTCTTCGCTTTCCTCTGTGCAGCTCGATGCCTGGTTCCAGGAGGAGAGTTCTGGTGGGGTATCGAATGCAAGACCTGGGTATGGGTGAACAGAGTTACCTATGGCAGGAGCAAGGAGAACCCTTGGGGAAAAGAAGATGAGGCAGCAGTGATTGCGGCCAACAACGTGTCCAAGCACTTTGTCTTCGTGGCGCTGATTCTCTACTGGGGCCGCCGTCTCTACACAGTGGAGCAGCCAAAAAGCTCGTTGCTGAACTACGTGGACATCGTCCAGACTCTCTTCGGCGTGCACAGCGTCACGACGGTGAACTGCGACCACGGCTACTTCGACGATCCTGATTCCGCGGTCAAGCCGTTGAAGCTCATGGGGACGGCGCCCTTCATGTCTCTCATGCGTGCTACAGTGCCCTTAGCCGATCGGACCCACAGGGCAAAGCTCACGATCGAGAAGAGGGGCAAGGCTGCCGACGGCAGCGTCATCGTGAAGACTCACGGGGTCAAGGAGTTGATGAGCGACAGCGAGCGCTACTGCGTGGCCTTCGCGGAGGCTGTGGCAGCCCATTGCAAATCGTGGCTTTCTGAGGGCTTCCACCATCAGCCGATGGCTATGCCCCCAATGGGTTCAGGAGGCGAGCCCTGAGGAGCAGGAGCATACTCGACACCTCTTCACTTCCCAAGTCTGTGCAGTGAGGCTGCGCGCTATTGTTTGCTTGCGCAAGATTTGGAGACCTCGTCGGCCCCGCCGCTGAGCGCTACAATGGGGTCCTTCGCCTAGCTAGCTGCTGCGTCAAAAAAACATGGTCCTCACCCATTGGTCAACCTTGATTCGTCCTGTGCTGCCCCCCCTCTGTCTACTGCTCGATACCTCCTCCTCCCCCTCCTCCGCCAACTTGAAAACAGCATTGCAAATTGCTCGGCCACCTCCTCCTGACACTGATCCTTCGTCTCCTCCCCCTCCTCCTCCTCCTCCTCCGACGGTTTCTGATGTCTTGATTGCAGTGCATCGTGGTCGTTATTGCCATCACCAGCCAGCCGCTGAACGTGTGCAGACAAGAAGGCCCATCTGCGCCCGCGCTCGCAGGCCAGCGGCCAGCGCCTGCGGCCCTTGCCCGCCGGCTGCGGGCCGCGGGACTCCAGCGCCGCGATGGCTTGCTCTGCGGGTGCGCCATGCCGCATTGCTGAGAAGCTCGTCATGCACTGCGTGAAGTGCAAGAAGGAGGCCAACGTCACCGACTCCATCCCGTCTGGCTCGAAAACAACTGATTCGAGGATCCACAACGTGTGCAAGCAAGTCGCCAAAGGTGTTTCGGACAGGGTCAAAAAGGACAAGAAGTTCAAGCTTTGGTGGGACAAAGCATCAGACAATGAGAAGGCAGAGTATTTCGATCGGCAGCGCAGGCGCAGGCAGCCCGGCAGAGGCCAGGCACGAGTATGGGACGATTACCAGGTCGAGAACTACCACAATAAGGAGGAGGGCACTGAGGATCGCGAGCGCTTCCTCTGGCAGCCGTTCGAGGACTTCGAAACCTTGAAGCTGATCCGAGGATGGACGAGCCAGGAGATCAAGGATGAGTGGTCCAGGTTGGTCAACGACCCTGCTGTGGGCGCCAAGAAGATGCACGGCGAGTGGTGCATCCCGAAGTTCGGCGGCGGCATCGCCGACCGCGTCAAGAGGGACATGACTGGCACGAACAGCAAGCGGAGCGCCCATGCTGCTGATGCTGATGCGGCTTCTCAACTTCTTGCTGAAGCGGCAGAGGTCCAGCGCTTGGCAATGGCGGAACACCAACGCGTCTTGGAAGCCGAGGTCGGTACCGTGACGAACGGAGGGAGGCACAACACCATGGACACCGAGGTCGCTACTCGCATGGTGCCTGAACTAGCTCAGCCACTCCAGCGCGAGATGACGAGCCAGCTGAAGAGGAGGATGCAGATCGAGGAGTACGCGATTCGCGACCTCGAAGGCCTCGGAGCTACTGATGATGCTACGGAGGAGACGCAGGGCTGTTTGAAGAAGCCGAAGAAGGAGGCCAGCCTCGATGCCCAGCGCGCCACCCTGTGGAATTGGATGCAGTCGAGAAAGGTGGCCTTGGGCAGCTACAAGAGCAACTTCGGCGTGAGCAAGGACGACGCCACGAGGGAGCTCAACGACGTCGTCAAGAAGGACCTCGGCAGCGACGAGCTGGGCACCAAGGCGAAGGGATCCGAGGCCATGGTCTCTGCGTACGATCGAATTACCACACTCGTTGATGACTTCATCAGAACCTGGCTTACCGATCGTGGGCCCTTGGATGCCATGACGCCAGAGCAGTTGGACCAGCGCAAGAAGCAGGTGACGACCAAGGAGGCCGAGTTGCGCAAGACTCGCTGTATCCAGGATTTCAAGGACGCTCTCGGCATCAGCGTGAAGTGTGTCAAGGACTACAAGAAGAAGCTTAACAAGCAGGGCAGTGCCGACGGCCCCAAGGGTGAGGTAGCGAACGATCCGCAGTGTGCGAAGTCTTTATCCCAGGTCGTTGAGATTCTTGGCGACCAGTTCCAGCATGGAGTAAGCAACGCGCCAACGGACATCTGGAAGAACAAGGTCGCGCTGCTCAACAGGGCAACGGTCAAGACGATGACCGACGACATGATGAAGTCGGAACCGTTCAAGAAGCAGTTCCAGTGGATCGAGAAGCGCATGAAGAAGGACAAGTCCAACGCGCTCGCCTGCCCCGTGGCGAAGGGACCCATGGCTACGAACATATCCAAGCTGAAGAAGGAGGAGCTGCCGGAGTCATTCATCACATGCTTGCCGCTCGCCAGCGCGGCGAAGGAGTGGGGCCAGGCGCTGTGCGACGACGAGCTGTGCGCCACCATCGAGGGGGTCTCGTCAGTGAGCCTGGTACCCTACGGCATCGTGGACGTGATCGTGGCACTTGCTGGCATGTGCCAGTTTTTTTTGGCCCCAGTGGAGGGCACGCCTGGCCACGACATCCCAGAGAAGGTCAGCTTCCTGGAGAAGGGGTCACCAGATGATCTTCAGAGGCTCCGCACTTCGCACGGGTTCGCCTGCGTCATGATGCGGCCTGGGGATGTGCTAGCCATCCCAGCGAACTACTTCGAGCTCACGCATGTCCCCTTGGGTGTTGGTGGAGACCACGGTGGAGATTTCTACTTCCTTCGTTGGGGCGCGAGTCCAGAGACGATCAACGACCCAAACTACACGGCGGTCTGGGACAAGATCAAGAGTGGAGTGAAAAACATGTTGGAGTCGTATCCTAGCCTGGCCAAGGACAACCCACCGTATATGCATTTCGCCAAGATGCTTGAGGATAATGCGTGAAATGGTCTTCACTTCTTCTGGGCGGCCCGGGCGGCATCAGTGCCGATAGCCAGACCGCACCGTTCGCAACAAGATGAACGCGTGCTGAGCTGGCCACCTCACGTTCAGAGCAGGGGTGTGCGTTAGTCTTGGCGAGGGGTTCGCGTAGCAAGACTTTGCACTGCGAGGCGGAGTGCACAGCGCCAACGCCCGAGAGTGAAACATTCGAACACATATCCACGCGAATTGTTGGCACTGCAGACGTTACCATTGAAAGCATGATGGTTTTTATTCTTCGATGGCTTCGCCGATTCCGCCATCTGCAAAATCGCCAAGGCTACGCCAGCAATGTCCTCCTTCTCCTCCTTCTCCTCCTCCTCCTCCTCCTCCCCCACCGCCGACCCCCCAACTCACGATCAAGCTCACGCGCACTCAGACTCATCTGTGCTCGGACCCACTCGCAATCAGACTCAATCGTGTTCAGACCCACTCACACTCCGACTTATTAGCGCTCAGACCCACTCACATTCAGACCCACTCGCCGTCCGACTTTAATGCGCTCAAGCTCGTGCACATTCATGCTCACACGCACTCAAACCCAATTGCACGAATCATGTGGATCGAAACTCAGACTCTCCCGCACTCAGAGGGACGAACTATGCCATCTCAGAACTTATGCTCTGATGCCACATGTTTCTCACCATCCGCAATTCCTCCGTCTTCCTCCTATCTCTCGGCCCCAATCCTTCTTGAGGTTATTAGGTTTGCTTCACCACCTAGCTTCGGATGTCGGGGAAACCGCTGCCTAGTCCAATGCGTCTCGATGCCCCTTTCATCAACCACTTAGGTCGCGTACGGCGCGGCGCGATCCCTCCCGTACTGCACAACATGATAATTCAGCTGTCCTGGCCGATGTTGCGTCGCGACGGGGAGCGAGAAATAATGCTAAACCCACCATAAACCAATGTCGCGATCACGCGGGGGCGGTTCGCTTAAATACGTTGCATTATACGTTTTAACGGTGGCATTGCGTGTTCGATGGGTGTGGGTCGTTACCACACAGGCTTCATGGCCTCAAGTTCGAGACCGATTTGTCGTCGCGAACTGAACTCCTAGGTATGTAGCCTCCCTGACGTCGTCGTCGCACCCCTCGAACGCCCCCAGGGGGGGGGAACAACACAGTGTGCGCACCCCAACCCCGACACCTGCCAGCATGAGTTAGCATCTCTAACTGTTCCGCGCGCGTAGCCTTGCAGTCCAGACTCCAACATCAAGGGACGTTGACTTACGCCGCGCGCATGAAGCCGCCGATGGCCTGGGCCTAGCGCCGCAGGGGGGCCCGCGGTGGCGATCGTTTCCGCCGGTTGGTCTCGGCGAAGGAGCACGTCCACCAGTTGGGCGGGGGCGCAGATCGGGCGGGGGGGCTCCGTCGAGGTTATCCGCGGGGCGCGGCGCCCACAATTTAGGCGCGAAGCTGCGGGCTTAGCTCGCGGCGCCTCGTGGACAGGCCAATGGCGGGGAGCTGTTCTTCAAAGTCGAACTGTTTCATGAGTTCCCGCTTGTCCGCAAAAGGGGCGCACTGCGAACATGCCAGTGCAGCAAGTTATCGAATACATCAATCAACAAGCCTTTTGAGCTATGCCATGGACAAAATTCGCACTGGGAGGCCGCGCGCACAAGACGCCGTGAATCTGGGTCGCCCGAGGAGGAAAACCCAGAAAGTCGGCTACCTGGTCAGGGCCCATGGGCCACGACGAACAGAGAGGCGCCCTTCTCCCCCCTGGCACAGTAGGTTCGCAAGGGCCGACGCGGCGCGGCGGGGGCGCTTGAGGCGGAGGACGGCCCTGACACCAAGATTGCTGTTTTGGCTCAATGTCCGTTGCTGACCATAGCCGCTCAGGATTTCTCTGCGGGGAGTTCTCGCTGGGCCCGGCGCGTTTCGTTGCGTCGTCGGCCCCGGGCCAGCGCGCGCGTCGAAGCATTTTGCGCTGCCTTTCCTTACGGCCACGGAGACAGTGACAAGACGGCCGGTCGTGGGGGCGCGCGTTTTCGCGCGTATTTGCGGAAGAAATAGTTGCAGCCGCTCCGCAAATACTGGGCACTGCACATGCGTGCGCCTGGCGAGTTGATGCTGCATCTTATCACTGAGATGGGTAGTGAAGGACCATTCTCCTGTCAGTTGGAACGAGGCACGCTGCATCAACCAATATCAGAGCTCCGCGGGCGCGGAGCGCGTCGGAGAGTAGCGTCGTCGGGCAGCTTCGCGCAACTGTCGCGCCGCTTTTCATTCGTTGTCCCACGCCCCAGAAGCAGGGGCCCCGCTGAATCACTCAGGTCCCTCATCTTCAAGTCTCAGGAGCCCAGAGCGGGCAGGTCCCGAAGGGTCCTCCAAGACGGTCGCCGAGAAGCCTCCATCTCTAGCGGGGGCCTGCATCGCGGTGGCCCACTCGCCCGCGGGGTGTCGGTAGGAGTCGGGGACATTGAACGCACGCTGGCGGGGGCTGCGACAGCGGAAGCCGATTTGATATACAGGACGCCAGACATTGCTCGCGTCGGCAGCCCCCGCGTAGGCGCCCGCCCCCTCCAGCAGACGTGACGCGCAAGCAAGGTCTAGCTTGTTTTTCTTCTCGCGCGTCCCATGGGCGTCGAGTTGTCTAAGTCGCTGTTGGCCTGCCTCATTGAAAAGAAACGTGCGAGCCGCCCGCCTTCGTTCCAACAAGGTCCCACTCTCGGCTCGGTGCTCTTCCATCAGCTCGGAGCGTTGGGGGGGCACCTCCAGTTCTGGTAGGGCAGCGCCGCGCACGCCCTCGACTATCGACACCCGCGCGGCCGTCGGATCGATCGATTGCGTCTGGCCCTGCTACTGTTGTCGTTTTGATTCCGACTGTCCCTCCAGCTCTGCGAGGATCTCCGCTCCGTCGCCCACGTGCTGCTGGAGTCGAAAAAGCTGAGCCTTGTCCCATCTAGGTTCACGATGTAGTAGCTCAGGCGCTTGAAGTACTTACGAAAGGCGCCGCATCAACGGGGCGTGATCTTTGGGACGACGGTCTGGGATCACTTGAAGTTCTCTCTTCGCCCTCTTCAGCACTCGGCACTGATGTGTCACTCCGACAGCGGCAGCTGGGGCGATCAGGCGGTCGGGTTTGTCGCTCGAGTCCATTCCGTAGTACGTCGGCCCCGTCGGGTGGAAGGAGCCAACCACAGCTAGATTCGCCGTGCCCAACCTCCTCCAGGTGCCGATGGAAACCTCGCTCTCCGCATCATTCGCGTAAGGACCCACCTGGGCGTCATCAGTCGCACTCGTAGACATACCCTGCCCAACTCTCGACGGACACCGAACTGCGAGTTGGATCCCATACCGATCAGAGTCATCGAGCGGTGGAAGGCGGCCTGCACAGTCTTGCGCACCCAGTCTGTCACTCTCGAACAGGTGGATCTCCACGGTTCAACTCCCATATTACTGGGCGGAGGGTAGTACGCTACAATCAGCGTCGCGTCGAATTGTCAATTCCGAATGCTCATGACTCCTCCTCTTCCTGCGATGTCCGACGGGGCGGGTCTGACTTCGCGCACATGCTGAGGTATGATGCAGCGCCTCTTCAGGAATATGGCACACCCCGCACTCTCGCTGGCATGCCTCCCTCTCTCCCATCCGAAAGAGAACAAGCGATGATATCTCAACGTCGTAGTAGCGACTGGAGTTTTCAATCGTTGTTTGCATGCCGTCGCAGGACACAATTATACGTTTGCGAAGCGACGGTGTGCACTGATCTCCCCGGCTCTCCAAGCATCGGAAACATGCAACGGGTTGCAGAGAACAGCATTGAGAGTCTGGTCCCACATGCAAGGTAAGATGTGAGGAGTGGAGACGGAACGCAAGAATGGGAGAGTCAGGGCCGCGATGGCAAGGAGCCCCCCCCCAGGCTCCCGCAGCGGGGGGCGTCGAAGCTAACGTTCGGTTCATGGCCCGCTCGGGCGCGGCCTGGCGGGGCAGGGGCTTTGGGGAAGGAAGAGAGAGGAGCCCTCCCGGGGCTCTCTTGGTGGCAGGTTGGGCCGTCTGGCGGGCATTTCGGGGCCTTCTCGGGGTCTTCCCGGGCCGTGCCGGTGGCATTTGGGGCCCTCTCTGGGGGGCATCTTGGCCGTCTTGGTGGCCTATTGGGTCCGTCCTGGGCCGTTTTCGAGACCCCGTTGGAGGTCTTCTTGAGCGCCCCGGGGGCGGATGGAACACATTTATGGTTCGCCTGGATCTTTCGAGGTGGCCAGCTGGATCGACCAAGGCCCACTTGGGAGCCTTCGGATGCTTCGTGAAGTTAACGCTTGGCACGCGAACGACCCTTCTTTGCAAGCAACATGGGGCGGCCGATCTAATAGCCTTCGGCCCATCCTGCCACAGTTCGTGGGTCGTGGACAAGAGGCTGCTTAGGCGTTTCTGGGGGTCTCCTGGAAGGCCTCTTGGAGCCTCTGGATTTCTTTGGGCCTCTTCGGGGGCCTGTTGAAGGCCATTTGGATGCTTCTTGGGGACCCTCTTGGTGGCCTCTTGTGGCCTGGAGGTAATCTCGGGAACCATCTTAGGGTGCAGGGCCGCAACGCACCCCTTCGAGTTCACCATCTCAGGCCCCTCTTGAGGGCCTATTGCGGGTCTCTCGGACCCTTCTTAGGGGGCCTCGGGGGACCTGTGACGGCTCTCTTGGGGGCCTCTTGGGCCGTCTTGGATGTTCAAGTTTTAAGGCAGAGGGACCTGAGCTACGGATGCGACAATCAATCAGGATCTTAATTCGGAGTGATCCTCCGGTGAGGATGCGAAAATAAGTCACGGCCTGAATAGGGGATCGAGGACGCCGGCGGCGCATCACTGGCCGCTCCTTGGGAGTTTACCGAAGTGGCGCGCAGCATCGAAAGTCGTGACGCGTGGGTTTGGGGTCGGAGTCCTCATGGACGCTTCTTGGGGTCTCGCGAGAGGGCTCTTGGGGGCCTCCGCGGAGGAGTTTAAGGGCCTGTTGGGGGCCTCCTACGGGCTCTCTTGGGGCCTCTTGGGGGCCTCCCAGGGGCCTCCTGGGGGCCTCTTGGGACCGAAAGCTCGAAATGTTCATGCGGGTTTCCCTTCTGGGTGCCTTCTTGGGGCCGTCCTTGGGCCCCTCTTGGGCCGTCCCGGGGGCCTCTTGGGCCGTCTTGGGGCCCTCTTGGGCTGTTTTGGAGCTCTCTTTGGGGCTTGTTGGGCCGTCTTGGGGCGATCTCGGGAGCCTCTTGGGCCGTCTTAGAGCATCGGTAAGCCGAAATGGCGGGAACGCGAAAATCCTTCCAAAACAACCGACAAATCACGGATTTTTGTCCTTTGGGGCTCTCGTGGGGGTGCTCTTGCAGGCCTCTTGGGGCGTCTCGGAGGCGTCTTGCTCCGTCTGAGGGCCATCTTGGGCGTCTTGAAACGATCTGGAACTGTCTGGAGGCTCTCTTGGACCGTCTAGGTGCTCTCTTGGACTGGTTTTGGGCGCTCTCGGGTCGTCCCCGGGCTGTTCCGGAACTTGACGGAGGCCAGGGGGGGCCGGCGGCAGAGTGGGGCCCCCTCGGAGGGACTTCAGGGAGGTTTTTAACCAGGCACTAGCGAATGGGGCTAAAAACTTTGCCAAACACTCTGTCAGAGAGGTCTCGCACGGCCCAGCCCGTAGGGCGGGAGCGGCTGGATTTTCAGTGAGTTTGACCTCTTTGGCAGGCCCCCGGGGCCTCCAAGACGGCAGGAGAGACTCTAAAGTGAGTTGGGATACAGGCGAGAGGTAACGAGCGTGTGTCCGCGGCCGTGTGTGCTCAAGCGGCCGGCCGCCTATATCTAAATACACCTCAGGGCGAGGTGTATGATTCGCCATCAAGACCGAAAATATCCTTCGCTTGAGATGGCCCGTCGCTCCCGCGACGACCTCCTACTACTGGGACTAATGTTACTATAACACAACAGAGCTGGAGCTGTGCTACGCCTAAGGCGTAGCTTCTGGTCGGGCCTACCGGCCCCCTTCAAACTGAGAGGCCCCCAAGAGAGACCCAGGACGGTCTCCTTCGGCCATCTTGAGGCACGCGGGAAGTCTGGACACCAGACAACGCTCCCAAGGCCTCAAGGAAGGTCACGATCAGGGGCAACGATAGGGGGGGATAGGCATAGGGGGGGATGCATCGACCCCCCATCGCCCAGTGATCGCCGATAGGGGCCCGATAGCCCCAGCTTGCCCAGAAAGGTCCGGATTCACGATCGGAGGCTATCGCCGATCTGTCGGCGATGTATCGCCGATTCCAGGTCGATGCATCCCCCCTTATGCCAGTCACCCCCCTACCGTCGTCCCTCACACGAAGCAAAATCCGAGAGCGCCCAGGACTTCCGGGCTGCGGGTCCCCTCAAGAGCACGCGCAATCCTCAATCCAGAAAGCTTGACGGGTCCCGAGGTCATTCCATTCTGTGCCCAAGGCACGGTGGCGGATTCGAGGCAGCCACCGCCGTGGACGCTGGGGAGCTTCAGTTGGCCTCGGGCACCGAGGTCATCCCCGCGGACCTCTTCGTGAAGGCCCCGCCAGAGTTCACGTATATCTGTCCCCTGGAGGCGACCTCGGCCCACTACCTGGAGGCCGAAGGCGCCGTGCCGGTTCCCGACGACGTCGAATGCAGCATAGCGTACGACGCGCAGAGTGGCGTGGAGGTCCTGCGCCTGAGCTTCCAGTCGGGCATCGAGATCGGTGTGAGGTACGCGTTCACGGTCGACATTGTCAACGCGCCGTTCATCGACCCCACCGACAACAGTTTCACTTTGGAGACGCGCTACAAAGGGCAGCTGGTAGAGAGCCTCACGATCGAAGGCTATCAGTTGGCCGAGAGGATGGACAACACGCGCTACTATCATTACCCAGCTGGTGAAGACCGCAGGGCCCTCGCGACCGCAAACATCGTCACTTTCATCATCGGGCTGTCGGAGGCTATCGATGAGACTACCGTGCTAGAGGTGAAGGCACCGTTCGGATACCGCATCGCATACGACTGTACATCGGACTTCGGGCAGGCGACGTGGGTGACGGGCGTTATCGCCCTTCCGGCCCACGACACTTGCCAGAACCGCGAGGCCGTGTCGCCAGAGATGGAATACATCGCGGACGTCTACATGATTGGCTATTGGGGCCTTGGAGAACATGCCATGTGGATCAAGGTCGGGAATCCCCAGTTTGATGCGGATCGTAACTACTGGAGCTTCACAATCCGGAACTCGGTAGATCTTCCATTGTTCTCCGAGCCTTGGGTCGAAGGTTTCAAAATCCAAGCCGTGCACAACGTCGCGTTCAGGCCATACATCCCGGCCACAACTAACAGCGGAGAGGCGGCCATCAACCCTGTGGAGCTCAGTTTCGAGCTGACCACCTCACTGCCGGCCAGCACCAGCATCCAGGCGCTGATCTTGATCCAGGCGCCAGAGGGCTTCTTGTTCCCCCCTGTCTGCCAGGACTTCGCGCCAGACACTGAGAACGCCGCCTGGGGCATGGTCCCGCTGCCCTCTTCGACCGGCTGCATGGGCGACGGGGGGCGGCAGTTGACCTTGACGATCCCCTCATGGTTTGAGATGGTCAACGATACCTCCTACGAGTTCCGTTTCACCGTGATCAACCCCAGCTACACGTTCGTCGATACCGACACGGCGGACAGGTGGTGGCAGATCGAGACACAGTACAACGGAGAGGAGATTGATAAAAACACGGTGGCGCCTTCTTTTCCAGTCTACCAGCGGCTCCAGTATTTCAGCGTCGACACACTTTCGCAGATCGGAAACCAGGCGACGTCCATCCGCGTGTTGTTCCAGCTCGACTCGGAGTTGCCGCCGCAGAAAACTGTCACCATCACAGGGCCTGAGGGTATGGTTTTCGGAGGGATGCAATCGTATTACTGTGTGGACCCTGACGTGGACGTCGCGACTATCAGTCCACTGTTCCCAGAGCCCGCTATAAGTGGTATCATATCGCTACCTGAGTGGATGGAGTGCCATGTTGAGGGGGCGTCCGTGATTCTCACCAACACAGAGAGCGTTCTGGATGGGCGCTCATTGGAGACGGTTCAGGTGTTCGAGTTCTTCGTTCAGAATGTCACCAACCCGTCTTATGCACCGGTCATCAACAATTTCTTCATTGTCGCGGATACGGACACGGAGTTCGGGCAGGAGGTTTGGGCCACGGACGCTTGGCCATTATACCCTCAGCTCACGGACTGCTCCCTAACAAGCTCTAACCCGAGCTATTCTCTCTACACGAACTTCACGTTCAGTCTGAGGACCAGGGCTCGAGCCAAACGTTTTTTCAATTTCGTGGACCGTTTTTCGTTTTGACTTCGTATCGCGGCAGAGGCAGAAGGAAGGCAGAACGAAGGAAGACGAAGACAGAGCGTACACGAAAAACGGAGGAAAACAGCAGACGAAAACGAAAAACGAAGACAAAACGAAGGAAGACGAACATGAATGCGAACAAAGAAACTACGAGGACGGTGTCCTCGGTGCCGACGGGCGGCTCCATCCAGATTGCCGGGCCCAGCGATTATTACTTCGGCCCCGATCTGGGCTACGTGAACGACAAGCTGGAGTCCGTGCCATCTCGACAGGTTCGATAGCTGGGGCCTACTCCGATTCTTCCGACTCGATTCGATTCGATTTCGATGTCCGCCGATTCCGATTCGATTGGACCTCGGGTTCCGATCTGGATGCCGATTCCCCAAAGGAGGCCTAGCCTGTCGATTCCCGCCGATTCGGCCTCTCGACTTGGCTGCCGACTTCCGCCGATCTGATTCATTTCGATCGCCGATCCGACTTATCGATTCGATTTTGATCTCTGCTGGCAGATCATGGGAGCCTGGTATACCCTCTCACTTCCGTCTTTAACATCGATTAGCGTTCAGAGTCGATGAGATAGCGCCGATTCAGCGTCGGTTAGCGTCGAGTTAGGGTTCATTAGCGTCGATTTAGCGTCGACTAGCGTCGATTCGCAAGAGCCGACAATGTGGTACGGGAGGCTCCCATGAGTTGCCACCGAAAGCAGGGCTTCGTGGACGAGCGGCCTTCTGACGGTCAGCTCGTGACCTGCTCGATGTTTCGCCCGGCGAGCTGGGTCTGCGTGCTGGACTTCCAGCCGTGCGTCGACCAGGCGGAGTTGGAGTCCATCGGCAGCCTCATCTCAACGGCCGAGCAAGCCGAGCTGGACGCGGCCACCCTGTCTTGCGACGAGTGGCAGACGAAATGCACATCGGGGGACCTCTCAGAGCTGATCACGTGCGAAAGCCAGGGCAGCGTCCTGACGCTCACGCTCCAGCCAGACGTGCTGCTGCCGTCCGGACGCTTCTTCCGGATCACCGTGCCGGGGCACAACATTCGGTATCAGTCAGCGGATGATGCAGACATGTCGTGGACGTTCAGAACCCGCGATTCCGACGTGGACAAGACGGTCTTGGACGAGCGCGTCGGCGTGACTGGCGTGAGTTTGGTGAATGTGGTGGACGTATTGTCTATCTCGCCTTACGACAAAAAAGTAGGCAGCGAGTCGAACGTAGTAACAGTGACCATACGACTGGACAAGAAGATCGATCCTTACGCAAGGTTACTTATCACGTACCCAGAGGCTTACTCACTAATCGATGGCGCAGCAAACCAAGGGCTTTCTGTATCAGTTGCGGCCGATTGGCCCACTAAGACCATCAATATCGTGCAGTACAATAATGTTATAGAGTTGACCTCTTTTGAAGAGGCCATGCCTGCCGACAGGGATATGACGTTGGATATCATTCTCAGCAACCCCGCGATTTCGCCAATGGCGGTGGACAACATATGGACGTTCGAGGCATTAAGCAGGGCGAACAGTGACACGTTCTACACCTTGAGCTCCCACATGTACGTGCACGGTTTCAAGATTTTCGGAGAGTTCTCTTCTGCCACCATCACGCCGACTCTTATTTCGCCAACGGCCTCTAACAGGGTCAATTTATATTTCATGCTGAAGAGCCCCCTCATATACACCTCCGCGAGCTATCTCTGGGTGTGGCTGCCGATGGGCTGGACACCCAACACCTACGTGGCGGCAGGGTCCACAACCACGAACTGGTGGTCGGAACTCGCGGTACCCCAGTTGTTGTCTGGAACGTCAGCTTCGGCGCATTACGACGCGGAGCTTGGTCAATCTTATCCAGTTGCTTGCGGCAAGTTTCGCCACCGTGCCAGCGCAGCAGCGCAGACGAGTTCAGGACCCACGCCAGATCAGCGGGCGGTCCGAGCTCGCGTGGGTCTCAAACTCGACCTCGTTCCCTCGGTCTTGGGGCCGTCTGAGAGCCCGCTTGGGCCGTCCAGTGATATCCCAATTGCGTTTCACTGGTTCACGCTTCTTGAGGCCTCGCTGGAGATATCTAGGAGCGGCTCTATTCGTCGCAATGGGACCCCTTGGGGCATCCTGGGGAGATCTTGTACAGTCTTTCGGAGCTCGGTCGCCACTCTTTGGATGGTCTTGTGGTGTCTTGCAGCCGTTTTGGATGATTTTTAGCCGCCTTGAGCCGTCTGGATGCCGATAAGAGCGCCAGAGAGAAAAACCAGGGGGAGGGGTGGTTTTCTGAGGACGCGTGCTAGTAGGGAGGCGGAAGCCGAATCTAGAAGCACTGAAGAAGTCTTACCAGACAACAGGAGCAGTATGACACGCCCCAACATGCCCGCGGCGGTGGATATCCTATTCAAGTTGGACAGAACCGTAGAATCTGGCATACAATACGCATTCGGCTTCAACGTGTGGAACCCAGCGACAAACCCCATCGACACGTCGAACGAGTGGCGTTTGGAGACGAGCCAGTCCGGCGTGATGCTGCACCTGCAGGGCGGGATAGAGGGTTTTTTGCTCCAGGAGCTCGTCGTTGCCTCTGTCACGCCAACCGACACGACGTCCCTTCTGGAACATAACAAGGTGTCTTTCCGATTCGAAAGCAACCAGCTGATCGTTGGGGGTTCCCACATCACCATCCTTGCGCCCGAGGGATTCATATTTGATTGCTATGACTCTGTGGCCATCTTCGAGACGCAGGGCTTGGCTGCAACGACGACTTGCTCAGACTCCCCCCTGGAGCCGAACAAGGTGGAGCTGACCATGGACAGCCTGGACCAGAGGCTTCCCAACGCCCCGTTCACAATCACCATCTCAGTGAAGAACCCCGAGTTTACTCCCCAGAATAATTACTTCACGTTCGAAATCCAAGATCCCTCTGGCAGCTTCACTGACATGGCCAATTACGTCCCGTCGTACGACATCACGGGGGATATAGCTGTAGTGATCGATGGAACTTTCCCCTATTACGGCTACACCAACCCGCTTGTGATCGAGTTCCTACAGACGACCATCTTGAACATGGCAGACAGTGGAAACGAGGTTGTTGTCACCGCACCAACTGGCTTCGTCTTCCCAGTCGACTGCACGGGCTTCGACCTCAGGTTCTCTCTGGAGACGGCCGCGCAGTCTCTCAGCGGGTATAACGACTTATTCGTCTTCCCGCCGCCTGGCATACAGTGCATTGGATTCGGCAACAGCACCGTGATCATCAGATTGCCCGATGGCGTGGGGCTCCTCACCAACTCGTACACCTTGAAGGTGGACGTCGAGGACCCCCTCGTCGGCGGGTTGAACTGCACCGACGAGTGCTACTGGAGCTTCATTACGAGGGTCCGCAATGACGACGGTATACACATCGTGGACTCCAAAATCAACATAGAAGCCAACTTCGACATGAACGTGCTTGCGGCAATGGCCATAGACGAAGGAGGGGCCTTGCCCCTCTCTGCGCCCTGCCTCGCCTCCCTCGTGGCCAGCGTTCTCTCCCTGCTCCTGGCCATCGGCGACACTGATTCCAGATGACCAGGCTTTTCTAACCTAAGCACGCATACTACTCGCAACCTTGCTCTGGGCATGCACCCGCGGCTCAAGGTTGTTATCATCATCGTCTGGCTCAGCGAAACGCTCACCCTACAACACTCTGAAGGGCAGCGTGTGACACTATAGCTGCCCTCACACCGCGAGAGCAGTGGCTCGGTTAATGTGCTCGAGAAGGCTATTCGCGACAAGTGCGACGTCGTCTCATGTAGGTGATCGTCCCGAATCACCATGTGGATGCCTCCTATGGGAGATCTGCCACATTAGACAAGTCTTGTGTCCAGTACACGACCAGGGCTGCTCAGAGTCCGTTGGCCTTCAGTTCCGACATGTTTCCTCTTATGTTTCTCTTCATCTCTCTCTGTCTCCTAGGTCTCGCTAGTCCTTTGTTTGGTGTTATATTTCGATGTGCTGAATCCCTTGTGCAACGTGCCAAATCACAGTCGCCTTGACACTGTGATGGCATGGCAATTATAAGTCTCCTCGAGGGCTATTCGCGACAAGTGCGACCTTGTCTCATGTGGCTGATCGTGCCGAAGCATGCTACCAGCCATACGGGTGGGTGTCTTCGCGGAATTTGTCTTTGACATTGCAATCATGTCGCGTCGCCAGAAAGTTGTCTGATGTCTCCCATGGAGGATCTGCCACATTTCAAGACATGTATACCCAGCGTGATCCCAGGGCTGCTCGGCCCCCCCGACATCATGATCTGTCCATAAATTCGACGAACCTGGAGATCTCGACTCATTCCACGGGACCGGTTTTGCATCCCGAGTCGATGTCTGACGGTCCCGAGGCCCGGTAAGGGGCCCCAGAGGCCCAATATGAGCCGTCCGTCGTGGTGTTTTCACGACTCGAGATGGGTTGTTGTTTTTTTTGCGGTAGCAAATAATGGGAGCCTTGTGTACCCTCGCAATTCTGTACTGAGCATCGTCTAGATCAGCGTGGAGTCGCGGCTGGGAGTCGATGAGATAGTGCCGACTTAGCGTCGATTTCGCGTCGACTTGGCGTCGACTCGCAAGAGCCGACGAGATGATATGGGAGGCTCCCATGTAAAACGACGCGAAGATCGGGACAGAATCGGATCGGGATAACTCGAAATCTCTGAGGATCGGCGGAGGATGTATTGGGCGCCGCGGCCGCTCCAGAGCGCTCCGGAACGCTCGGAGAGCGCTCCGGAACGCTCTGGAGCGATTTATCCCGATCCTAGCCCTGTTTTACTGATATTCGGGCGAAGAGAACTATGCACATGCACCGATCCTGGCAAGGCCCATTCTTGACCCAGGATCGGTGCATATGCCTTCCTGGCCAAGGTAGGAGGGCGTATGCACCGATCCTGGGCTCAGGATGGGCCTGGCCAGAATCGGTGTATGTGCATAGTTCTCTTTCCTCTATGGTATGGGAGGCTCTCATGAGTTGCCACCAAAGGTTATGCCGCCCCGGGGGGGCCCATCCGCTCGGGCGCGCGCCCTCGCGGCCCTGCCTCTCCGGGTTGGCGCGGCGGGAGGCCCCCGCGCCTTTTGCGCAGGGGCCTCCCCCGCTCTGCCACAGGCCGCCGCCGCGCTCCCATCGGAAGTGCGCTCTCCGCCCCCCAAAAAGTGCGCGCGCGGGGGGGGGGGAGCGTCCTCCTCCTCCCCCTCCTCCTCCTCCTCCTCCTCCTCCTCCTCCTCCTCCTCCTGATCCTCCTCCTCCTCCTCCCCCTCGGGAAACCGGAGCGGAGCGGAGCGGAGTGGAGGCGCCGGTTCCGGGCACCGGGGGTGCCCGTGCCCTTTGGGCAAGGCGCAAGAGGCCGTAGCCTCAGACCGTGTGGGTGCTGAAACTCTGGATGACATGATTCACGAACCGGAACAGATAGAGCGTGTGGTCGGAATAGGACAGCAACCAGCACAAATAGAATATGTGGACGAAGTAGTACACGAGCCGGGGGGGGGAGGAAGTCAGGGGAGGAAAAGGTACCCGTACAGTCAGCCCGTAGCACAAGGATGCGCGGTGATTTCAGTCGGGCGATCGCAATCATGGATCAAGGGGGCGTGGATTCTGAGCGACGGGTCCCGTTTCCACGAGGAATCGCGGATTTCCGCCGCAGAGCGAGGCGGCATTGGCCGCATTTGGGGGAGGGCACCTCCCCCGATCCACGGATTTGGCGACCGCACGCCAAATCCATGGATCGCTAATCCATGTTTGCGCGCCCCTGATACAGTCAACCCGTATCATAAGGATGCGCGGTAATTAATGATGCAAGGGCTTTGGAAGGCCGTCTCGAAGCCTTGCGAGCGGTGCGCGGCCAACGAAAGTGGCCAAGGATGGACCGAGGAGGCAAGGACACACGGGTACCCTTGGTGAGGTTGCCCGTCTTTTCTACGCGGGTTGATTGCACCTCTAGGCCTCCCAAATAGAGTCCGAGCGGATGGGGTCGGAGGATCGCGCCGCATCGGCGATGCATCGGCGATGCGGCTCGATGCGGAGCCGATTTCCTCCACGTCGCCGGGGAGTCGGATCCTCCGACCCCATCTAGGAGGCCTCCAATAGCTACCGTTCGGCCAGTTTCCCCTTTTGCGACCTCCTGTGAGGCCCTCGTCGCCACCGCTGGATTCGCCTCGAAATCTTGGTCAGAACGCCCCCGGGAAGAGGTCTGGGAAGTAGCGGTATTGGTATTTCTTGGTTTCCCCAAAAAGGCTGGGTGGACAAGGCGCACCAAGACAGTCCGGCGACTACAAAGGATACGGTGATGAGCCTGGGGAGCACGACATTGTCCTCGTCGGGCCTCCTCGGGGCGCGGCGGAGAGCTATGTCGAGGTCCTCGCCCGCCCCCCAGGATGCCCCCCAGGGTGCTGGTTGCAAAACAGACCCTTTGCAAACCGCACCCTGTGGAGTCGCCGAGCATTCGAAACCGATGGTAAGGATGCGTAACCTTCCCAAGGGTGCCCCACCCGTCCGTGGGGCGTCCCCGGGCGCGTTCCCAGGCGCGTCCTTTGCGACGTCCTGGCGTGACGTGACCTGGCACGTCCTCCATCAGGAGGGGAAGAAACACACAGACACAATTAATCGTCGATCCCCAGGAAAATATAGGAAAATATGGGAAGTGGTGGGGAAGACAAGAACCCAGAAAATATGGGAAAATATGGGGAATCTTTTTATTTGTGTGTATTTATTTGTGTGTCCCAGTTTCCCTTCACTCCAGCACGCCACTCGGCGTGGCGCGCTCCCTGGCTCGTCCTCTGTCGCGTGCCCTGGCTCGTCCCCAAGGCGCTGCCCCTGCCCGTGCCGTGGCCGCGCCTCCTGCAACGTCCCTCGTTGCACGACGTCCTCTGGCCGCCCTGTGGCAGGCGCCCTGGCGCGAACCGTGGCAGGTCCCTGACACGTCCAGGGGACGTCGTCCCCTGATACGTCCCTTGACACTCGAGCCGGGCGAAAGGGGGGGATTGGGAAAGGGGGGGTTACGAAA